CCCCCGGGGACTTCCACGAGACCTCCGGGGAAGGGGCAGGATCGGTGTTCGAGGACTTGGCTTGTGGGCCCGAGTGGGAGGAGGCGGAGGAGGAAGAAAGGGGAGTGAGGAGGAGGGAGACCAGAGCAAACCCATTCCCAAGTCCCCTACTTACACGTCCGCCAAAGCTTTCCTTCTCACTGCAGGAGCGTCCCCCTTGAAAAACCAACGCCACATGGGCCTGCCATTTTGGCGAGGGCCCAGCTTTTCAAAGTCATTGTGGTGATACCGTTCAACGGGAAGTCCTGCGATCGCCCCCTTAATGCAAGGATGGCCCCCCACCCCGGCAACAGTGGTATTTCCTAAATTGAGCGCCGAGGACGTTTCAAGCGAGGATTCCATTTTGAAAAGGAGCCGCCGTCGACCCAAGCTGTGTTACTCGTGTTGAAGTTCCAGGTCTTGCAAGTTTCAGGAGGGGGAAAACACACAGACACAACTAATCGTCGATTCCCACGAAAATATGGGAAAATATGGGAAGTGGGGGGGAAGACAAACCCAGGAAATATGGGAACAGATGGGGGATATTTGTATTCGTGTCTATTTATTTGTGTGTCCTGGGGCCCCTTCAAAGCTGAGGACGTCTCAAGCGAGAGCCCCATCTGGAACTTGAGCCGCTCTCCATCCTTTGTCGGGGGAGCGTAAGACCCGGGTTTGCCAGGACTCGGGTTCGCCATCGTTTTTTGACGACCGCGATTCGGATTTTGACGAGAAGGAGTTTCGTGGGATGTCTGCAGCGGGAGGCCTCGTCAAAATGCAGGCTCGGCCTCGTCATTTTTTTGACGACCTCGTCGGGGATTTCCGAGTCCCCTGTACCCGGGTCTTACGCCCCCCTGATCCTTCCGTCCATCTGTTGCGCAGAGGTTTCGCAGGAAGGAGTGCGGCGCCGAGGCGGGAATCATCCTGCAAGAGGGGCCCGCCCTCCATGAGTGGCGCTGCCGAAGACCTGTGGAGACGAATGCACGCGGAGCCCCCTGTTGAAGGCGACGCCCCCTTCCTTCCGTCCATCTGTGGCGCAGAGGTTTCGCAGGAAGGAGTGCGGCGCTGAGGCAGGAACCATGCTGTAAGAAGGGCCCGCCCTCCATGAGTGGCACTGCTGAAGACTGTGGAGACGAATGCACGCGGAGCCCCATGTTGAAGGCGACGCCCCCCTCCTTCCGCCCATCTGTTGCGCAGAGGTTTCGCAGGAATGAGTGCGGCGCTGAGGCGGGAACCATCTTGTAAGAAGGGCCCGCCCTCCATGAGTGGCGCTGCTGAAGACTGTGGAGACGAATGTACGCGGCGCCCGGGCAAGAACCCTATTTCGAAAACGGCCCGCCCTCCATCACTGCAACTGCTGCGAAATTCTCAGTCGAATGCGCGCGGCGCTAAAAAAAGATATCCCGGCAAAGCAACCTAACAGCGATGTGTAGGAGCATATCTGGAAGCATTCCCCTTAAGATTCAGATGAGAATCTTGTTGTAGAATTCTGCTGTTCTCGCAGTCGTAGTCGCATTCGCGATGGCAGTCGCAGTGGCAACGGCAGTCGCAGTCAGCCTCAGCCTCAGCCTCAGCCTCAGCCTGCCTCAGCCTCAGCCTGCCTCAGCTCAGCCTGCTTCAGCCTCAGCCTCAGTCTGCCTTCAGCCTGCCTCAGCCTCAGCCTCAGCCTCAGCCTGCCTCAGCCTGCTCAGCCTCAGCCTCAGCCTGCCTCAGCCTCAGCCTCAGCCTGCAGCTCAGCCTCAGCCTCAGCCTCAGCCTCAGCCTGCCTCAGCCTCAGCCTCAGCCTGCTTCAGCCTCAGCCTCCTGCCTTCAGCCTCTCAGCCTCAGCCTGCCTCAGCCTCAGCCTCAGCCTGCCTCAGCCTCAGCCTAGCCTGCTTCAGCCTCAGCCTCAGTCTGCCTTCAGCCTCAGCCTCTGCCTCAGCCTCAGCCTGCATCAGCCTCAGCCTCAGCCTCAGCCTGCCTCAGCCTCAGCCTCAGCCTGCCTCAGCCTCAGCCTCAGCCTGCTTCAGCCTCAGCCTCAGTCTGCCTTCAGCCTCGGCCTCAGCCTCAGCCTGCCTCAGCCTCAGCCTGCCTCAGCCTCAGCATCAGCCTGCCTCAGCATTCAAAATGTGGCCCGGGAATGGAGTTCTGGGAACTCGAAGACACGAAGTGGCCTACAGTTGGCTCCGGGCATTCAAAATCATGCCCAGGAATGGAGTTCTGGGAACTCGAAGACCACGAAGTGGCCTACAGTTGGCTCCGGGCATTCAAAATGTGGCCCGGGAATGGAGTTCTGGGAACTCGAAGACCACGAAGTGGCCTACAGTTGGCTCCGGGCATTCAAAATGTGGCCCGGGAGTGGAGTTCTGGGAACTCGAAGACCACGAAGTGGTCTACAGTTGGCTTCGGGCATTCACAATGTGGCCCGGGAATGGAGTTCTGGGAGGTCGAAGAGCACGAAGTGTGTGACTGTTTGCTTAAAACGAGCCCGGCCCTGAGCCCGGCCCTCGCTGTCCGGATGCCGCCCAGACTTCCCTTCTGAGTCATCAGATGCTCTCTTCTGACACCACTAGAAACCTATCAGTCTTCGCTGTTAGGTAAAAAGAGCACAGTTTTGAAAACTGTTCGTGCTCCGTGGCATTGCTGCACACTTTCCATACGAACGCTCGCGGCGCCAACGCGAGACCCAGGAGGGGAAAAAACACACAGACACAATTAATCGTCGATTCCCTGGAAAATATTGGAAAATATGGGAAGTGGGGGCGAAGACAAACACCCCGAAAATATGGGAAAATATGGGGAATCTTTTATTTGTGTGTATTTATTTGTGTGTCCCAGGGCCCCTTCAGAGACCCCTGCTTGAAAGCGCCCCGCCCGCTCCTGGGAAGTTGCTGCCCGCTTCAGGCCTCGTGACCAGAAGCGGCGGGGAAGTCCCAGGCGAGAAGCGCCCTGCCCGCCCCGCCGGCACTCACTGGGGGGTGCGACGGTGGGGGCTCGGAAGGAATGGCGGGGAACGGGGGACGGGGGGCGCAGGCTTCATTGCAGATGAGGGAGGAGGAGGAGGAGGAGGAGGAGGAGGAGGAGGAGGAGGAGGAGGAGGAGGAGGAGGAGGAGGAAGGAACGGAGGAGGAGGGGAAATAGGGCGAGGAGGAAGAGGAAGGAGGAAGAGGATGGAGGGCGAGGAAGGCGAGGAAGGCGAGCGGGAGGAGGAGGAGGAGGAGGAGGAGGAAGAGCAGGAGGGGGAGGAGGAGGAGGAGGCAGGGAGCACTCTCACTCGCCCCTCGGCCACCCCCCCGTGCCCGCCGCGCCCGTTCTCGGGCGTCGCAAGTCGTTGCGCAGGAGTGCGGTAGGGTTACGTCGGGCATGTCCCTCCACAGGAGGAGTATTCGAACATCGTTCCCAAATAGTCTGGGGACGATGCTCCGTCATGTGTTGTTTGTGCTTGAAAATTGCTTGACTACTCAGATCTTTCTTCCAAGATCCGCCTGTGGGAAGACAGACCCGACCTCACGGTAGTGTCTGCGCTGACCTCCCGAGGGCGAGCGTTTGATTGGTTGGCCGCCGGCGACCGTTGAACGCTCCGAACTCAGATGCGCGAATTCCACGCGTCGCCGCCTGCCCAGTAAGCGACGGCCGCGACGTCGGCACGAGTGGATGAGGGCGCCCAGGCTCACACTCCGCATCCGAGCGGAAACAACGATGCTGGAACATAGTTAGTAGCATGCAGACATTGATGATTTCAAGGAAGATGCCGAATCTTAATATGAGAAGAACGCTGATGAAGTACGTGGTAGTTCTGGGGCGTTTGCCAGAGCATTTACCCGTTCCCTGCACAGCCCAGCCTGACATGTTTATGTATATACATATATATATATATGTGTGTGTGCGCACATAAACGCAGTCGCATCGTGTATACATTTGTGTCTGCATAGGGCCCTGCGTGCACTGTCATCTTATGCAAGGAAGCCCTTTGGCTTGGAAGCACTGCCCGGAGAACGAACCCTGTGCCAAGAATCAAATGGGGGGCGGGGGGGGCTGGAGGGCTTGTCATGTTACAGTCAGAACTACTGCAATTCCGTATGTATTCGTGGAATGCCGCCAGAGGCTGTTGGTCAAGCGTGGCGCCAGGCACAGAGCGGTGGCACATCGACAGCCGCGCCTCCCGTGCTATTCGTATGGCCTGCGGTAGTTTGTAAAGCGCTTGCTTTTTGTTTCTGACATTCTGCTCGGTGCAATGCCGCCAGTGCCTCTCTACTTCTGACGTTCAGCTCAATCTGAAGGCCGCCAGCGCTCCATAGCCTTGAGTTTACGAAGAGGCTGCCGCGCTCATGGAGATGTGCGCTCATGCTTCGCCTCTCCCTCCCGTCTTCTCTCAATCCTCCCCCCTCGCCTGCCTCGTCGCTGCACAGTCTAACACGGTAGTGGGGATGCATTTTTTTTCGCGAGGCCGCCCTTGCATCCTTGCTTGTTTGGCCCATCCTTCTCCGCTCGGCGCATGTTCGCCCGGAAGCTAGATACGCATGGTGCGTCCATGTGATTCACGCCGTAGCGAGTTCGGCTGCTCTCTGTCTGCTCCGCGACTGGTGTGTGGCGCGTGCTACACGGGTGGTCAGAAGGCAGACGGGCGGCCCGCACACTCTTCGAGGACCCCGCGCTCCACAGAGCACTGGCCGCAGAGAGATGCTCACGACCTGGATTGGGCTCCCCCTTGCACGCCCCGCACGCTTGTGGCCAACGAGTGCCCCACGAGAACTTCTCATCCCCCGATGGGGCTACAGGCTCCTAGGGAACCCTGCGGAGCTCAGAGCCGACGAAGAGTGTGCCCGTACAGAGAGAAGCTTCATCACATGTGCCGCTTGCTGCACGCTGGATTCCGGCTCGATGTGTTGTGCAGTCAGGACTTGTGGGGAGTGCGGGGGCTGCCGGCGGGAGTGCAGGGTACAACATGCCATGATCGACGCTGTCCGACCCACGCCGTCGGAAGAGCATGATGCCCCTCTACCGAGGGACGAGCTCCGGGCGCTGAGAACCCTGACCCGGGAGTGCGAGAAGTTTGCCGGCATCATGGCCAAGCAGAATAGGCCCACTTTCAGCGGCAGGGCCTTGCCCCCAGGATCCCTCGACCCCTCGATTCGGCACGAGCGGAGTGAGTACGGAAAGAATGGGTACAGTTCCCAACAGCAGTTCTCGTTCATTTTGAACAGGGCTCGCTGTCCGCGCCGACGCGGCCTGTGTCCATTTGGGACAGAAGACCGCCTGCCCAACAGCGGCCGCTGCTGGTTTCGGACAGCATTTGTTGCTGGGCACTGTGCTTTTTTTCCCCCCCGTGCCCATGGCGCACGCGGCCACGGCACGGCACGCGGCCACGGCACACGAGCACGGCGCGCGTGCCCGGCACGGCACGGCACGGCACACTGTTCTTCTTGCGTGCTGGAGTTCGCGCACGGCGCGCGCACGGCAAGGCATGCGAGGGCGGTGTTACGCGGCAGGTCCTCGCGCAACCTGAATCTCTTCACCACCGACCAAACCACCCCAACCCAACCCGAAGGTCTCAATTTGCCCTCCATTTCCAGTGGGGGGCGGGGCGAGGAACATCGAGAAAACACCTATGGAACCCGTACCCCCCCCCAACCCGAAATTCGAGTCTTCGGATTGGGTTGGGGTGGTCTGGTAGGTAGTCATCTTTGGCGCGGCGCGGCACGGCACGACACCGCAATCGCAATCGCATGCAGGAAGTTGGGCACAGCGCGGCAGCCAGGAGCTTCGGCACGGCACGGCACGGCACCGAAGAAGGGCGACCACGGCACGGCACGGGCACACGTTTCGCACTCTGGAGGCCCGGTGCGGCACGCGTGGCACCGCGCGGCGCGGCCTTGCACAGCTGCTCTTACCTGGAACATCGCCACGGCCCAGTACGGCCAAGCAGAGCACGGCACGTCCGTGGCATTCCGACAGCTGGGCCCGGCCCGGCCCGGCACGGCATGTTCGTAGAGATTTACATGGCCGGCGCGGCACGACGCGGCACGGCCCAGCACGTTCTTCGCACCCGAGAGGTCGGGCACGACGTAGCATGTTTCGAAGCAATTTGGAAGCTCGGCACGGCACTGCGCGACACCGCGCGGCACATTTGTCGCAACCTGGGATCTTGGCACGGCACAGCGCTCCGCAGCCCATGCCTCGCAATCCGGAAATTCGGCGCGGCCCAGCAGATCCCTTCGCAATCTGGAGGCCCAGTGTGGCACGGCACAGCGCGGCGCGGCACAGCAGGGCACAGCACAGCGCGGCACAGCACGGCACAGCACGGCAAGTTGGGAATCTGGCACTGCACGCCACGGCACTTTTCTCGTCCTATGGAAGGTTGGCGCGGGTGCGGAACCTGTTCTGCAGTTGGAGAGCTCGGCGCAGCACGGCGCAGCGCGCCGCGGCACGGCGCAGCTGTGCATTGCACATGTCTTTACGGTCTGTGAGTCTCGCCGGCACGGCGCGGCGCAGGCCTCTCGGTCTCCAGGAGCACCGGCAGGGCACGGCACGGCGCATGCCCTGCATCCCGGACGCGCGGCACGGCACGGCACGTCATGCGCAGCGTGGGCGCCACGGCACGGCACGCGCTTCGCAGTCTCGGAACCAGGCGCGTCACAGCACGGCACGGCACGTATTTTGAGCTTGGAATCGTTGCGGAGCAAGCGTTGAGACTTCTTGCAGCGCCTGTTGCTGAAGCAACCAAGAAGCCAATGTTAACCAGCGCTGGCCCCGAACAAGATGTCTTGCAGCTTACGCGGTGCAACCTAGGTGGTGCAACCAATGTGGTGCAATCTAGGTGGTGCAAAAACCAAGGTGGCGCAATTTCCCGTGGTGCAACATAATTCAAAGCAACGCAAAGCAATGCAACTCAGTGCATTCCAACGCAGAGACACGCAAAGCAATGCAGAGCAATGCGAAGCAACGCACAGCACAGGAAAACAGTGCAAAGCAATGCAACGCAATTCGCAGCAACGCATGGCAATGCAAAGCACCGCAATGCAATGCGACTCCAAGCAGTGCAAAGAAATGCCACATGCATCTGGCGCGACTGTCACGCAACGCAGTGCGAGTGCAGTGCAATGCTGTTGCAAAGCAGTGCGAAGCTATTCAGTGCAGTGCGATGGCGACGCAATGCGATCGCAATGCAGCGGGGGGCGGGCCACAACGGGGCGGCGGCGACGGGCGGGCCAGGTGCCGCTGGGCCCGCAGACGGGCTGTCTATCAGCAGTTGGAGAGATGGTGCGGCGCCGGAAGGCCACGTGGCCTCGGGGAGGCCGCGTGCGGGCCCAGCTCCTGAGCAGACAGGTGCAGCGTCACCCCAACATACTTATACTATATGTGCGTCGCCCTCCCAGGGGCGACGCGCGCACCGAGAAATCTTATAGTATATGCGTCGTGGCGGGCGCTTTGTGTCCACACCGCTCAGGAAAACGATGTACTACAAGATGGGTATACTACATGTTCAAGTCGGACGCGCGCCTCCAAGGAGGACATATAGTATTAGTATGTCCCTGTGCGTCCCAAGGTGAGGACACCTGCGGCAGGTTCGCGTCGCGTCGACACTCCGGCGGCCCCAGCGCGTGCGTGCAAGGTTGAGCGCCACCCCTAAAATATGGGAAGTGGGGGGGAAGACAGAAACCCAGAAAATATAGGAAAATATGGCGAATATTTTTATTTGTGTGTATTTATTTGTGTGTCCTGGGGCCCCTTGAAGGTTGAACGCCACCCTTGGCCCAGAATCGGCCCGTCGTTGAACGATCTGGCGTCAATGGAACCGCCGATCGTTCAGGCTTGAACGATCCCCGCGGTGTCGGGAACCAACGCCGGGCTCGACACGACGCGAACCTGTCGTAAGGGAAAACCGCTGCACGGGGAGCAGAGACGCCCGCTCCGACCATGAGGTAGACGTAGTGGGGGATGACGGTGAATAAATGACCGGGGGTCGTGTTCACGCGGCGGCGCCCGGGATGACGATCGGAAAAAACCGGCCGCGGGCTGGATTTTTTTTAAGTCAGAAAATTGTGCAGAAAGAGGAGGAGGAGGAGGAGGAGTAGGAGGAGGAGAAGGGAGGAGGAGAAGGGAGTAGGAGGAGGAGAAGGGAGGAGGAGGAGGAGGATCACTCGTCAGAAAACTATGTTTTATCGTTCTCTCTCATTTTTTATCACTCGTCATCCCGCATTAGATCCAGCCTGGAGTCCGGGGGGCCTGCCTCCGCCGAAGAAGAGCAGAAGCACACACACACACACACATAAACTTGGTGCTCCGCGCGGGTTTCTTGGCTTGGCGCCGGGCCCGCGCCTCTGGCGCCGCCCCTGGCGCGCTCCGCGCGCCAGGGGGGGGGGTCCAGCGCGAGAAATCCGCGCGGACCTCAAAGTTTTTATGTTCATGTCATTCTTCGTTCCCCTATTGTTGGGCGCGTTCAGTCCTCTGGCTTGCAGAGGCCTCCAGGGAGGGGGGGGGATCCAGCGCGGATCCAAGAAGTCCACGCGGAGCGCCAAAGGCTTATGTTTGTGCGGTTGCTTCTTCGTCTGCTCCGAGGCCCTGCACCAGTGGCACGCCCACGACAGCCTCCCGTGGCTCACCGAGCACAACGTGGTCGGTGCCTACGAGGCCGCCCTGGCCTTCTTCTGGAAGGGGTCGGAGGTTGGTAGACCTCCTACCCTGTCACGTCGATGAGCGAATTGGCCGTCTTCGGTTCGCGAGAGGGCGTCGCGGCCGTTCTTTTTGCGGGTCCAGGTCCGTCGGTTTCGGCCTTCGCCCGTTTTCACTGAAGGGCGATTTGCAAAAGGGAGGTTTGTCAACTGCCGAAGGGGAGGAGGGTCCAGAGGCGGCTCCTCCGGAGGTGAGATGCAGGCGTTTGCGGGGCAGGCGGGGCCAGGCTTGGGTCGGGTACGCCCTCCTACGGGCGGGCTTTCGAGGACATATAAAAAGTAGTCAAACGTACTCAAACATAGCAACAACATACTAGGAGCGTGTTTCTTTATTGCTTGGGGCATAATGGGCTTTTTCGCCCCCTCCCCCCCCTCCCCCCCATAACGTAACGCCCCTCCCCTCCCAGTGCGCTCTGGGCACTGCCGCCGTGCGCATCGGGCACACGGCGGGGGGGAGGCGTTACATTATACCCCCCCACACCCGGCCCCCCCCCACCACTCGAATGCCCATTGTCGCCGAAAACAGAGAATCGCGCTCCAGAAAAATCTTATACAGAATATGTTTGGACTATTTGGGGGTATCTTCCCTGTCAGGGGGCGTGCCCAAGCTACGGCTGGGCGGCAGAAATGGGCAGGATCCGGCGCGGCAGGTCTGCGCCGCCCCGCCGGCGCGGCGGAGCGACGCCGGCGTGGGCGTGCAGGGTCGACCTCGGGGCTCCAGATGCGGTGGAGGCGTTGGCTGAGGGGTGAAAACCGAAAAATCGTGTTTTTTCGAGTTTTTTTTCTGATCTTGCTTCAGAATCTTCCTTCATGTGTTCCGAGGAGCGCTGTGCAACAAAAGAGCTCTACGAGGTGCCCGGCGGTAACCTGGTTGACGGTTTACCGCCGGTTCCCATTCCGGGGCGCTGGAGAGCCCAGGAGGCCTTCAGACCTTTGTGGGCCCCGGGAACGGCAGGGCCGTTTGTTCCACCGCTTCCAGAAAAAAATGTCCCTGGGAAGTGGAAGCGGCAAAAAAAAACGGCGACCGGAAACGGCAAGAAAACGGCTCCTGGATCGGAGCCGGAGCCGGAACCGGTCCAAAAACGGCGACAGAACCGGTACAAAAACGGCGTCGGAACCGGCAAAAAACTGGCAAAACGGAACCGGTAGAAACACGGCCCTGTCGTTCCCGGGGCCCACTTAGCTTCAGACGTTGGTGGCTCTCCCTTATCTAATGAAGGGCGGCGGTGCCTGGCTGCGGGGGGCCCTCGTGCTGCGCGCCCGTCGGGCGCCTCGGGGGCGCGCAGGTGGCCGATGGAGGCGCCTGGCGGCGCGGCGTGGGCGGCTGCTTCGGCGCGCACGCTGGCGAGGCGCCTGCGCAGGCGGAGGCGCGGCGAACTTGGGGTGTCCCGAGCGTGCGCCCTCGCCTGGAGGACGATGTCCCTGAGGGCGGGCCTCGTGGCGCACTTGGCCGTCAGCGACGCGCTGGGCGCCCACTTTGGGAGCATGGGGGAGGCCCTCGCCGCCGCCCAGGTGCTCGCAGGCCAGTCCGACCTGCGGATCGACTTCGGGGAGGTGCAGTCGCTGTTGGAAGCGGCGAATTGGTCTCGCCACGCGGCCCCGCCAGGCGCCCGCAGGGCCCCTGCCATGCCGCGCGGCGTCCCTGCGACTTCCCTCGAGTCCGTGCTCACGCTGCAGGCCTTCCCACTTCGGGAGGACGCCGTGCCGTTCATCCCCGAGCCAGGGAGCCAAAGGGTGCAGGACGGGCACGCCGCTTCCGAGGTGCTCATGGAGGGCGTGCGGGTGAATCACGAGGGGCCGACAGATGCCGGTGCTGGTGCTGAGGACCCTGCCACAGGCGCCTTCGCGCCGTCGCCGTATGCCGTGGCCAGCAGCTGCGAGGACTGCAAGGGCGACTGTTGCAGCAGCGAAGAAAGCGGCCTCGGTGCGGGGCTTGGTACGGGAGACGCGGACGGGGCCACGGCCTGCTCTGCCAGCCCCGCCACCTCTTCGGGGCCCAGCCGCGACGTCCTGGAGTACCTGGTCTGCTATGATGCGGCGGTGCTAAGCAGCGGGGGCAGTTGTCGTGCGCGGCGATACCGTTGTGGGGGCCACCTGGTGGCGTGCGCGTGCGCGCGTGGCCTGCGCTTGGCTCGGCATGCCCGGCGCTGAGGAGCCCCTGCACGACGAGGGTGCCGCAGGAGCGAGGGACCAGGAGTCGGGCGATCAGCAGGAGAAGCCGCGCGGGAGGTGCCTCGAGCGGGCTTTGCTGCTGGAGAGGGCCGAGGCGTTCGAGAGCTTCCAGGCGCGATTCGCGCAGCTAGCAGCCCAAGCCTCGCGGGTGCGGGAGCTGGCTGACGCGCGAGAGGTGCACGAATGGGTGGGCGCGAGGCTGTGCTCCATGGAGCTGACTGTGGACAGCGTTGACGCCGTGCACTACATGGAGGAGCTCCACCGAGCGGCCAGGGAGGGTCGCATCACCGCCGCAGATGCCGTGGAGATCGCGTCGCTCTCTGCGGTGGGGGCGGCGGAAATCGAAAGAAGGTTCGTGGGGGCTGGCGAGACAGACTTCCGCGACAACTTGGGGCACGAGGCCGAGGCGGACGTGCTGCGCGACGCGCTGGGGCTCCCTGGCGGCGTGGCGCACGATCTGCGGCAGCCCCATGTGCAGGTGGGCGAGATGGAGCCGCGGCGGCAGGCCTGGCTCCGCCTCCATGTCGGGGCGCTTGAGTTGGCCCACGTGTCGGATCGGCCCTAGCGACGGTAGTGGCTGCTGCGTGGCGGCCGTGGCGGGCTGCAGGGGAGCAGCGGGCACGGCGCGCGTGGGCGCCCTGGCGCGGCGGGTTCGAGCGGTTGCAGTCCGCGGCGACCCGCGCGGAGGATGACCCGTCAGCTGCTGTGAGCCGCTGGCGCGGCGTAGACCCCGACCCCCGGGGCGGCGCGGGGCGCGGAGTTCACTGCGCCCCCCTGGCGGGCCCCCGCCGTGCGCCGCGGGGCGCGGTGCAAGACCGGTTTGGGCTGCTGCCGCGCAGCGCGCGGGGGCAGCGAGCTCGTTCCCGGGGGCCCCGCCCGCGCCTTTCTGCGTGACGTTCAAATCGCGGGTGGGTCCGCTCACCCTCGAAATGTTTTTAAAGCGGGGCCAGGGGGGGTGCGCCGACCCAGGCCTGGGCGCAGGATCCCGCAGGATTTGTTGCAGGACCCTGCACGGCCTGATTGACCTGGGCCAGCATTGGCCGGGGTCAGAAGCTCCCCGACGCATGCCGCCAGCGGCCAGGAGCCAGTCGATGCCAAACGTTTGCGCTGGCAGGAAGCCGCGATCGCGCGTGCATTTGTTTCCCCGTAGAGGCGGATGCACCGAGGAAGATTCTGGGGCATTGAGGGGCGCGCGTTGCGTGAGAAACCAGCATGACACACAGAAGTCGTTGCACATACTGATGTCTCATGCTCGTCGCGAGCCGTGCTTTTGGACACGGCCGCGCCGCCTAAATCGAGGCCACGTCCGATGGAGGTTCCCAGATACTGAGCTCATTTAACGTCGCGAACATGGCATCCGCAACCTCAGGCACTTTTTGATTACAAAAGTTCACGAGTGTATGTATTGTTTGCCAGAGGGCTTTCAAGTCCCAAGCGACCGCGTCCAGGCCCCTGCAGCACTCGATTTTACGAAGTGTTTGCGGTCCTTCGGAATCTAGGACGGGGCCCAACGATTCTGTATGCAAGTTGTGGTTATGAGGGCGGGGGCATCGATGATTCCTGTGTCCTGTGGATCACACGCTTTTTCGCGTTGTTGTTCGCCCGCCCAGTCTCCCCCTGGATCTTCGGAATGGCCGAGGGGGAAGACAGACCCATGCCGCAGTGGACGGGGCCGGGAGCGAGACCGGCGACGGTTGCAGGATCGGCGGAAGGCTCAGGCACCGCTACGAAGGCCGTTCGAGGCGCAGGCATCGCGGGAAAAAAGGCAATGACGACAATAGGGGAAAGGAGGAAGGAGGAGACAGACACATCCACGCGGTGCCGGTCGCCACGTCAATGTTTATTCTCACAGATGCAAGACAAATCGCATTATTCGAGGACCCAAAGTACGAGACGTACTTCGCCGACGAGCGCAGCGGCGCGCTGGGCCAGACGTGCCGGGAGGCGGGCGCCGAGAGGAAGAAGGATCGAGGGTCTCGAGGGCGCCCGCGGAGAAGGGGCAGCAGGTGGACTTCAACATCCTGGGCCCGCCGTGCGCGATTGTCTTCGCGCGCGCGATCAGGAGGGCAATTATGCAGCGCGCGGGCGGCCGCAAATTCCCAGGCGGCAGAAACTACGCGGTCATCCCCGAGTGCTGGAGCTCGGTGGTGATGCGGCGTTCGCCGCGCGAGATCGCGATTGATGTGCTGCGCTTCAAGTGCCGCAAGGCGGGCAACAGCTCGGAGAAGGGGGCGCTCTCGCTGGCGGTGGCGCTTGGCGAAAAGATGACGATGAACATGTTGCAGGTCGACTTGCCCCGCCTGGCTCGGCGCGACAGGGCAGAGCGCACCACGGGGCCGGGGCTCTTTGAGGACCACTGGAGAGGGCGGCGCCCAGGATGCTGAGCGAGATGTGAGGTGGGAAGATGGGCCAGGGGGAGTCGGATAATAAAGAAGGTCCAGTCAGAGACTAGCAGGGCTGATCAGAAGCGGTCTGGCGCCTGCAACTGTCTTCCTGGAACTCTTGCTATGCACGTTCTTCCCTCCTGTAATGGGCAAATGTAAGTGGACTGCAGGCCGCCGGCATCGGGAGAAAGCTGATGTAGGCGCTGGCTTGCCGCCGCAACAGGGTGCCAAGGGCGCGAGTCGATGGCGCGCAGGACGCGGACGCGGCGGTGGCCGTGATATGGTAGGGAAGGGGTCGGGGGCGGGGCGGGTGGCGGTGGTGGGAAGGAGGCCGTAAGTTGTTGGTTCCCCGTTGGCATATTCGCCCAGGGGCGCCCGCCTGTTGCGCGGGGCGGCCCCCCGAAAAAAAATAAAGGGCAGCGCGGGCGGGCGCCCGACTGGCTTTTGGTCGCTCTGGGTCGCCCCGGGTGCTTCAGGTTCCGTGCGCGGTCGGAGTGCGACGCCGCCGTGGGGTGCATGTTGCATCGCCCTTTTGTGACGGGCGCCCGCTTCCCAAGGCCGATTGGGCTGGACCCTTTTTTCTTGTTCGCCCCTCGCCGCCCCCCTCCCGTTGCCATGATCGGCGCGTGCTCATCCGTGTCAGCGAGGGCTGCACGGGGCCAGTTCGCATTTGCATGATACATACACACAAGAAGGCGAGGACGAGGAAAGGGAGGCGAACAAAAGACACGAGAGACGTTGCCTATAGTTTTTGTGCGAAGAGGTGTCCCCTCTTCCGTCTTGTTTCTGTCGTCGTTGGTCGGGTCCTCGTGCCTCCTCCTCATCCTCTTCTGGATTGTTGCCGTCGTTCTTCCCCCAGCTGTGGTTGGGCAGCCAGGGGGGCTGTCAGTGGGGTACCCTTCGACTTGAGTTATTACTGCACGTTCGTGCCTGGCCGCCGTCGGGGACAGCGGATCATCTCCACGAGTGTTATGCAATGCATAACTCCTCGCAGCCGTACTCCAGCGGGGCTTTCGTGCACTCCCCCTCCTTCTCCTCCTCCTCGCCGCTCCTGGTTTCACTGATACGAGTTGGGGACATTCGTATCATCCCGTGTGCGCGCGGAATTGTTAGGGCAGCGTTCGCCTAAGCAGTGGCGGGGACCAGCGCCATGTGTTGGCTCCGTGTGTGCAGGTCTCCTCGCTTCCCGTTTGCTGCCGTTCCTCCCCCATGTCTCCCCCCCATCCGCGCCAGAGAAAGCCAGACGGACCATGGTCCGCTGGGCAGGCTCTGCTGCCCGCAGGTGCCCCGCGCCAGGCTCTTCTGCCGCCGAGCGGCACCGTGGCAGGGGCCGAGTTGCCGCGGCAGGCCGTGGCTCCATCCTCCGCCCCAGGCCCTGGGAAGCTTCTGGCCCTCCAGAACACTACCAGCCTCGAGCGTATCCCTATCCCCAAGATTGTCACGCCAAAAGGCGATGACAATCTTAGGGAGTCGCCCTCAAAAGATAAGGCAGTCCCTAAGATTGGCATCGTGATGAGGAGGTGCCCAGCATAGGGATAGGGATATGTTCCAGGCTGGTAAGAACAAAGAAAAGAAAACAAAACGATAGATGTAGTATTCACCGCTGCTTCGAGTTCTGCCGACCGTCCGCCGTGTGCTGTCGAAGGTGACGTCAGCGTCCCGAATTTTCCGCACAGAGAGCGGGGGTTCCATCGTCGAAGCGGGCGACCACGGGGGGGGCCCTGTGGAAGCGGGTGGAGGTACGATGGGGACGGGCTCACGGGCGGAAACCGTTTCAAGCAAAGCTAGAGAGACCAGCGCTGGCATGCCCGGAGTTCCCAGAACCCCTCAACCACAGCGACGGAAGACCTTCGCTCCTGTCATGCGCCAGTCAGCCGGGCGCTACAAAGTTGGTGTATGCGTCGCCACGTGCGTGCGATTCCTGAACGAGTCGGTCCTGGTGTCAGAAAATCTGCGTCTGAACGTCGAGACCGTGTAAGCAACGGAGTGGTTTCGACACACTGTCAACAGCGCAGCGTTAAGAACACAATATCGCAATATCGACATCGCAGTGTCGAACCATTGCAGAGTTAACATTTCACTATTGGGCAAGAGGGGAAGAGAAGAAGTAACAGGTGGAAGTAGCACAAGAAGGAGCAGGTGAAAAGGAGGACGAACATAATGAGGAGGAAGAGGATGAGGAAGCGGACGGGGACGAGAAAGAGGAGGAGGAGTAGGAGGAGGAGGATGGGGAGGTGGAGGGGGAGGGCGAAAAGGAGGACGATGAGGAGAAGGAGAGGGCAGGAGGAGGAAGAGGAGGAGGAGGAGGAGGAGGAGAGGGACAAGGATCATATCCTTCTGTTGAGCTGATGGACCTGCGCTATCGACACTGCTTTGTGCACGAGGAGAGGACAGGGAGGAGGTGCAGAAGAGGAAGCGGAGGAGAATACCTAGCTGTGCTGAAGGCGTAGACAATGTGCTGTCGACACTGCGCTGGTGACACTGCGATGTTGACATTGGGCTTCGCAGTCAGAAAGGGAATAGGGGCGGGGAGAGAAAAGGAGGTAATTCCGCAACTGTGTCATCAGTGCATCATCAACGGCTCAGTGTTTTGACGCTGCACTTTCGACACGCTGCGGTGTCGACACTGCCTTGCCGACGTGCGTTGCGCAGGAGGAGAGGGCAGGGAGGATGCGAAGAGGAGGAGAATACTAACCCTGAGCAGTGTCAATGTCAATAAAACGTCGCCCGCTGCGCAGTCGACGCATTCAGTTGACACTGCGCTGTCGACACTGCGCTGTTGACACTGCGTTGCCTACACTGTGCTGTCGACGCTGCGCCGTCGACGCTGTCCTGTCGACGCTGCGCCACGCGGGAGGACAGGAAAGTTAAGAGGACGATGGGGCTCACCGCTGTCCCTGAGCTGCGGCCGTGGCGCAATGTCAACAGTGAAGTGATTCGGCACTTCGCTGTGGACGCTGTCGCTGCGCTGTCGGTACTGCGCTGTTGACCCGTCGTTGTTGACACTTCGTTGTTATCACTGCTCTGTCCACAATGCGCTGTTCATGCTGTTCGCACTGCGCTGCTGATGTCAAGCTGTCGGCACTGCGTTGTCGACACTGCGTTGCTAACACTTCGCGTTCGACGCTGAGCTGCCGACACTGAACTGTCAACATTACGCTGTCGGCGCTGCGTTGTTGACACTGCGCTGTCGACACTGCGCTGTCGACACGGCGGTGTCGACGCGGCCGTGTCGGATTTGCGTTGCGCAGGAGGGGGGGGGTTGAGGAGGACGATGAGGAGTATGCTAACCCTGAGGAGTGTCAACAGCGCAGTGCCATCAGCTCAGCGTTTCGACACTTCGCTATTGACACTGCGTTGGCGGCACTGGGCTGCTGACAATGTGCTGTCAATGCTGCGCTGTCGACATTGCGCTCTCCACACTGCGCTGTTGACAGTGCACTGTTGACACTGTGCCATCGACACTACACTGATCAGGAGGCGAGAACGGTGATGGAGGCGGGGAGGCAAAATTACAGCTGAGTCAGCAGCTCGGTGTTTCGACTTTCACTGTCCACACTGCGCTGTTGTCGCTGCGCTGTCGACGCTGCATTATGTAAGAGGAGAAAAAAGGAGGAGGTGGAGATAAGGACGGCGCTAACCCCGAACCGTGTCAACACCGCAGTGTCAACAGCACGGTATGTCGGCATTGTGCTGTTGACATTGTGTTGGCGACATTGTGTTGTCGACATTGCGCTGTCGACACTCTGCTGTTGACATTGCGCTGTCGACAAGCGCTGTCGACACTGGGTCTTTGACACTGCGCTGTTGATGTTACGTTGTCGGCATTTCGCCCTACACACTGTGATGTCGACAGTGTGCGGTCGACGCTGCGCTGTTGACATTTCGCTGCCGACATTGTCGACGCTGCTCTGTCGACACAGCGCTGCGCGGGAGGGCAGGCAGGTGAGGTGGAATATGTTTCCCCCTGAGCTTTCCCAACAGCGCAATGTCAACAGCGAGCTGTTTCGACGTTGCGCTGTCGGCGACGACGCTGTGCTGTCGTCGCTGCGCTGTCGACACACTGCGCCGTCGCCCCACTGCGCTGTCGACGCTGAGCAGTGTTTCAGCACTGCGCCGTTGACACCGCGGTGCACGAAGCTCCACTGTCGACACTGCGCTGCTGACACCACGATGCGCACGTTTGCTGTGCAGGGGGATAGGCAGCAGTAGATGAGGAGGATCATGTCATCCCTGAGCTGTGCCAGCAGCGCAGTGCCAACAGCGCAGTGTCTCGACACGGCTCTGACGACTTGGCACAGTTGGCGCTGCGCTGTCGACAGTGCGGTGTTGAAATTGCGTTGTCAGCATTGCGTTGTCGACATTGCGATGTCGACGCTGCATTTCCTGTATTATGCTGTCCACGCTGCGCTGGACAGCATCATGAGCTACCCTGAGCTGTGTGGACAGCGCAGTGCCGCCAGCGCAGTCTTTCGTACACAGTCACCAGCGCAGTGCCACCAGCGCCGTGCCACTGGCTACACTGCCCTTCTGACACTGCGCTATTTTCAACTGCGCTGCTCAGGAGGAGAGGAAAGGAAGGGAGTAGGACGATGACCAGTCATCTTCAAGCTGTGCCAACATCGCAGTACCAACAGCGCCGTGTTTTGACACTGCCTGTCGGCACTGCGACACTGCGCTGTGGGCCATGCGCCGTGAACGCTACAGTGCGCTGAGCACTGTTCCCCAGGGTCCAGCACGAGGGATTCTGGCCATCAGCAGGCGCGCCACCTCGCACCAGATGGGGGCACGGTGCATCTAACATTTGGGATGCGCGTTGCCGACGTTCCAGAGCCTCGCAGTCGCAGGTTGGTGGGTATGTTGTGGATTGACGCAATCCTGGCAGATAGAGTTCACAAATTGAGTGTTCCGCCGCCTAAGTTAGTTCACGTCGTCGTCATCGGCTTCCGAGGTGTTGGTAATTGGACCAGCCGAGAGAACGATAAGGGGGCGCAGCGGCCTCCGGGGGGGAGTAAGAGGCGCACAACGGAGAGGAGGAATGGGGAGGAGAAACAGAGTTCCTGCTCGCCTACATCCGTGTTCTATCGATTGGCGCGCTACAGCGAGCGACTTAAATAAGGAACACTTACTCTTCAAAAGGGGCTCGATCGTTCCTTAGGCTTGCATGCGTTATCTACAGTTCCTGATGCGTTATGTGTTATGTATCGTTCCTTATGCGTTATTCCCTGGGATAAAAAAGGGGCTTCGTTCCGTATTTATCGTTCCTTAGGTCAGGCCGATGACTGTACACGCGTGCGCATGTGAGCGGTGCGCTGCCAGCTCAAGCGCTTTCCAGGGGACGCCGCGTTCGTTGCAGCTCTGCAGTCGGCCCTCGCGCGCGCGCGAGGCCCTCCTGAGGTCTGGCGCCATTATGGCGGAGGCGTGCGCCGCTCCGCCAGCACCCAGAGGGGCAGATGTTGTGCTTGTGCTGTGCGATGCCCCTGCAGGAGGAGGAGGAGGAGGAGGAGGAGGAGGAGGAGGAGGAGGAGGAGGAGGAGGAGGAGGAGGAGGAGGAGGAGGAGGAGGAGGAGGGGAGGAGGAGGAGGAGGAGGAGGAGGAGGAGGAGGAGGAGGGGGAGGAGGAGGAGGAGGAGGAGGAGGAGGAGGAGGAGGAGGAGGAGGAGGAGGAGGAGGAGGAGGAGGAGGAGGAGGGAGGAGGAGGAGGAGGAGGAGGAGGAGGAGGAGGAGGAGGAGGAGGAGGAGGAGGAGGAGGAGGAGGAGGAGGAGGAGGAGGAGGGAGGAGGAGGAGGGAGGAGGAGGAGGAGGAGGAGGAGGAGGAGGAGGAGGAGGAGGAGGAGGAGAGGAGGAGGAGGAGGCGGAGGAGAAGGAGGGGGAGGAGGAGAGGAGGAGGAGGAGTCTCTGCAGTCAAGATGTCGGAGTACGGGCCACTCTGGCCTCGGACGGAATGGGCGCGGGGTTCCAGGTCTGTCAGGGAGGAGGGAGCGATACCCACACCGCGGCTCGTCCCGGAGAGTTCTCGCCACCGCTGCTGGATTCTCGAAAGTTTTGGCCAGCATGTGCCTCGGGAGATGTCCAGAGAGCAGCGGTATTGGTACTTTGTTGTCCCCCCAGCGTGGGCGCCGTCGGGGCCAGACCAGGGCGTCGGTCCCTGCTTGAGGTGCCATGCGGCAGGACTCTGCTCGCACCCCCGTCCGCCTGCCCCGCAAACAGCACCGCGGCACTGCAGCACGGCCTCGCGTTATCACCCTCCTGCTCCTCCCTCCCCTCCTCCTCGACCCCCTCCCGAGCCGAGGGGGGGCCCCCACTCGGGTATTCCCAGAAAGTGTGGTGACCACGCCGTGTGGTGATGCAATGGGGCCGCACGGTTTGGGGATTTGGGTCGTTTTCCGATGACGCTTCGGGCGGTTGTCGGCGGCGAGCCCGGGGGGAAGCGAGAAGGAGAAGGTCTGCTGAGAAGGCTCGGAAGTCCCCTGGCCTTCTGAGAAATTTTCTCAGCCTTCCCCGAAGACACAGGAAACCTCTCAGAAGGCGCGAGGGCTTCTGAGAAGTCCCGCCGCCTCCTGGGAAGGCCTTCTCCTTTTCACTTCCCCCCCTCGCTCGCCGCCAAAACTGGGGCCTCCAAGGTCCCAGACGCACCTCCACCCTGGGAGGAGAAGGGTTGGCGAGGGAGAGGGCAGGGAGGGGCCCCCTGTTCCTCCAGATGTGGTTTCTTGGGGGCTGCCGAAGGACTCTGGGGGCTTGGTGGGGGCCTCTGGGGGCCCTCTTGGAGTGGGTCCGGGCGTATCTCAGGCTGTCTGAGGGCCCTCTTGGGATGCCTCGGGCGCTTCCTGGAATCCTTTGTGGGCCGTGTGGGAGCGATCGTTAGGGAAAGTAGAAGCCCCGAGCAGGCCGAAAACCTTCAAACACCGATGGGAACAGCAAGATGTTGGCCTCGTGGGGCCCTCTCGGGAGTGCCCTTGGGCGCGTCTTGGTGCCCTCCTGGGCCGCCTGGGAGCCGGAGTGTGCGTGTTGAAGCGTTCGCTGGGAATCTCGAAGCAATCTTGGATTGTCTGGGGGGCCCTCATGAAGCCCTCTTGGCCCGTCTTGGGGCTGTTGTGGGGGCGACGATGCCATCCCAACACCCATGGGTGGTGGCCATCCCCATTCTTTTCCGATTGGAGAAGGGATCGACATATATTATGCGTATACATGTGTATGTCTGTAAATATATACATACATATACATGTATGTATATATACACATCTATGCGAATATATGTATGCATCGGCCGGCACACATTATACATGTATTACAGATGTATATATATACACTTATGTATCTACGCTTTCTGGTGCAACACAAGTGCGCCACCTTGGACCCTTGCACCAACCGCGCCCTCATCTGCATGCCGCATGCGGCCATCCCGAACAGCTGGGGGAGGAGGGGGATAGGGGCTCCGGGCTGCGGACCGACCGCTTCCCCAGGCAGCCCCGGCTGGCCTCAACGGGCGCCCCGCGGCAGTCTCGGCTGGCCTCAACATGTTCCCCGAGCCGTCTGGGGCGGTCTCGACATCCCAGCCCCGGAGCGCCCCGCGGGGCGCCGCTGGAGGTGGTGTCAGCATGTCGACACCGCCTGGGGCTGCTGGGGGTGGGGGCTGCTGGGGCCAGCCGGGACCACCTGGGGTGGTCCGCACGAGATGTTCTTGGAACATTGCTGGCCGAGTTTGCTGTGTTTTGGCACGTCGCGAGCACGTTCTAAGGACGTTGTTTTTGGTTCCGAAAGAACGCTGCTGGGCTCTGAGAGCATGTCGTGGCAGGCCCATAGGAATGCCAGGACGGTCGGTCCCTGCTCAAGTCTGCGCGCAGTCCGAAGCCTTGCCAGTGGGGCAGGGAGGAGAGCGAGCGGGAGAGGGCCGCGGAGGGCCGTGTGCGCGGGCGGGGCCCGCGGGACAGCGCAGGCGCGGGCCTGCCTCGGCCCGGCAGAGGGCCAGGCCCCGAAGGCGACATGTTCTTTTTCGACTAGACGTAAGAGTGGCCTTTCACCGGAGCGACCTTCTGGTGCGGGCCCCCAGGGCCCCCCGACCGACGAACGCGACGCGATAGCAGCGGCCGGCGCGCTTGGGTTTGGCCCCCCTCGCGCCCCCCCCAATGGCTGCGCACCAGAGGTCACTCTTACCCAGGGTCACCCTTGCGTGTGGCCGTTGCTTCCTCGTCGAAAAGAAGCGCCATAAGCATGAACTCGTGGCGCTCCGCGAGGAAATCTACCTGCGCCGGGCCCCTTCCCCCCCGAGCGGTGTCTCTGGCGCCGCCCCTGGCGCGCTCAGCGCGCCAGGGATGAAGATAATCGTCGGGTTGGGGGGATGGGGGTGGGAGAAATGGGGAGATCCTTACCCATAGGCGGCCGAAGGTATCGTTCATCGCATTTGGATGCTATTGCTCATACCCTTAATCCTCCCAACCCATTCCTACCAACACGAAAATACTTCTTCTCCTCCGGGAAGGGATCCGGCGCAAATCCAAGATATCCGCGCGGAGAACCACAGGTTTTTGTCTATGGCGTTCTTTTTTCTTTCTACAACGGGCGATGCCCACAGTCGTAGACGGCCCCATGTGCCGTTGGGGGTTCGCTGTACCTTCCCGCGGGCGGGCAGCTGCCTGCATCGCCTGCGCTCGCGGGAGTGTAATCGGCAAGATCGGTCAGCCTGCAATTGGCGAGTGCTCCGTCTAAGCGGGTTCATCATGCTGCAGGTGGCTTTTGGTTCACAATCGCAGCCGTCCTTAAGGACAAGTCGGGCCTGTCCCTCTACAGGAGGAATAGTCAAGAACAACAAAAACTAGTATGGGACATATTGTTCTACTATGTTTGAATATTCTTGAGTATGTTGCAGTGTTCTTCAGAATTTTCCGCCTGTAGGAGGACATGCCCGACCTAAGTAGAAGGTCAGTGACGGGGTTTCCGGGGGTCCCTTGCCCTGCCCTGACTCCAGATCCGCCCTACTTGGGCTTTTTCTCCAACTTAAAAATTGCATCGGAAATCCACCTATGAGAGGCCGACAAAGTAGGGCGGAAATCTCTGCACCCAACATAGAGTAGGGCGGAAATCCACAGAAGCGGGGCGGAAACAGCAGCAGAAAAGTAAGGCGGAAATTGGCATCCGCGGGGCTTGAAAAGCAAGGCGGAAATTCCAAGCCCCACTTACGACTTTCCCCAACGTAGGGCGGATCCGGAGTCAGGGTGGTTCTCCCCATCCACGTTCTGCCGCCGTCCTCCGTCCTCCTCCGAGGTGGGATGGGGGCGAGCACCCCGCACTCTAACCTGGCCACGCCCCCGAGCGGGCGGGGGCCGAGACGGACCGGCCTCGAGGACTTCTGCGGCTGGGTCGGCGAGCTGAACGCGCGCATCGCCTCCAGCGACGGGGAGAATGTCGCGGTCGGCCTCGTCTCGTCAGCCTCCTCGTCGTCGCCGTCGTCGCTCGCAGGCATCCTCCTCCGCTGTCCGCTTTCCCTCCAGCGTGTCTCTTTTTCTCCTGCTCGTTCTCTCCTACCCTTCCCCCTCCTCCCTCTCCTCATTTTTCTCCTCCTCCGTCCTTTCGTCGTATCCAGGGAGGAGGAGGAGGAGGAGGAGGAGGAGGAGGAGGAGGAGGAGGAGGAGGAGGAGGAGGAGGAGGAGGGGAGTAGGGAGGAGATGGAGGGGAAGGAGATGTAGTTGTTCGAGTGCGCCGGAACTCGGGTTTGCCGACGCTTTTTGACGCGCGCGTCCTGCATTTTGACGGTCCAGTTGTCGCTGGGATGTTTGCAGTGGGAACTCGAGTCAAGTTTCAGACTGGGCCTCGTCATTTTCATGATGGTTCCGCCAGGCTAACCCGAGTCCCCCGATCCCGAGTCTTACGTCTGCCCGATTCAGCTGGGGCCACGCGAGGGGCCCAACCGTCCCAGAAGCAGGCAAGGTGACTGGCAGGCCACGCGGCGGAACGCAGCGCGGACCGACAGGCAGCAGCGCCGCCCTGCCGACAGCGCGCACATGGGGAACCACCGTGCTCCGACTGGGAGGCATGCCCAAGCCTACCTGGCGTTGGAGGGGGTTTGCGAGGAGGAAGGCGGAGGATGAAGGAGCAGGAGGAGAAGGAGGATAAGAAAAGGAGGAGGAGGAGGAGGAGGAGGAGGAGGAGCAGGAGGAGGAGGAGGAGGAGGAAGAGGGGTTCAGGTGGTGTTGCTAACTTCTGGGGCGTTCAAGGGGGGTCCTGGGTAGTTCTGCAGGGATCGTCAGGGGCTTGGTGAGTCTGGCGAAGAGGGAGGAGGAGGAGCAGGAGGAGGAGGAGGATGAGGAGGAGGAGGAGGAGGAGCACCAGTTTGCGCCTGCGGTGCGACCCGCGGAGGCAAAACGAGGAGGAGGAGGAGGAGAAGGAGGAGGGTGAAGGCATGAAGGCGAGGATCCGGGAGGAAGGCGGAGGAGGCGGGGGAATGGAGAGGAGAAATGAGGGCGGTGGAAGAGGAGATAGGTGGTGGAGGAGGAGGAGGAGGAAGCGGAGGAGGAAGAGGAGGAGGAGGAGGAGGAGGACGAGGACAAGCACGAAGAGCAGAGCATGAGGAGGAGGACCTTGCGTCTCGGTCTTCCCTTGATGCTCCCCTTGCTGCCACCATCCTTCTCATACACGTGCGTGCTGTCACCGGGCGCCCGCTTGCGGCCGACAGAGCCGGCGTCATACTTCACGCTGCGCGGTGGGCGCTCCACCGGACGTGGTGGACAGGTTGCGCCGGGCCACGCGTAGGGAGGAGGAAGACCTCCTCCTCCTCCTCCTCCTCCTCCCTCCTCCTCCCTCCTCCTCCTCCTTCCTCCTCCTCCTCCTCCTCCTCCTCCTCCTCCTCCTCCTCCCTCCTCCTCCTCCTCCTCCTCTCCTCCTCCTCCTCCTCCTCCTCCTCCTCCTCCTCCTCCTCCTCCTCCTCGACCCCCCCTCCGCTGCCGAGGTCCGACCGGGGGCGTGGGACAATCGCCTGCCCCACCTCTTCTGGGGCAACGTGTATCCGGGAGGCTGGCGCCACGCTGCCCGCCTGCACACGAGCATACCTATAATCAGGAGGGAAAGAAACACACAGACTCAATGAATCCTCCATCCCCAGAGAATATGGGAAAATATGGGAAGTGGTGGGGAAGAGAAAAACCCAAAAGATATGAGAAAATATGGGGATGTTTTATTTGTGAGTATTTATTTGTGTGTCCTGGGGCCCCTTCATAGAAGGCATGTGAGTTCCACATGTTGGTTTTGTGTGTCTACGTATAGATTGTGTACCCAAAGATGGTAACCAGCATGGGCCCCAAACGCTGCTGTCTTGCACTCCAAGCAGTGCAATCTAAGTCGGTGCAGTCAACGTGGTGCAATCTAGGTGCTGCAATCCGTATGTTGCAACCTGTGCGGTGCAAAGCGATGCAAAGCCATGCGGCGCAACACGGTCAAAACCAATGCAACACAGCGCAAACCAATGCGAGGCGATGCAAGGCACTGCCGGATCGGCGGCGGAGGAGCACCGCCGAAAGGCGCCATTTCGAAGGGCCTGTAGGCATGCGCTCGAGGTGGAAAAGGGCTGGTTCCCGTGGTGGCGGGCCAAAGCAAACGGCCCGAACGGGGCCGTCGCAGCGCTCGCGCTCCTCGGCACGATCCTCCGCGCGAGCCTGTTCGAAAAGCCCGGGGGGGCCCGCCAGATGGCGAGCCTCGGGGTGGCGGGGTCGACGGGCGACCTGGGGGGCACCTGCGCGGGGAGCAGGGGCGCGTCGACCGAGCGGCTTTTGACGGCCTTCCTCGTCGAGCTTGCGGAGGATCTGCGGTCGCACAGGATGGCGCCGAGCCTAGACAGGCTGCCGCGCGACTCGAACCAGGAGGCGGACGATCCGCAACACGAAGACGTCGGACTTCGACGAGTCCCTCGGGATGCACTCGGCGGCCGCGGACCTGAGGTGGCACGTGCTCGACGAGATGGCGCAGGCCCCTCCGGAGCTCCTCGAGCCGATCGTCGAGGAGGGGGCGGCCGCCAAGGGCAGGACGTCGTCCGCGGGGCGCAGCCAGAGGGGCCGCGGGCGCGCGCGCCTGGCGCCGTGGCAGCGGCATCGCCCAGCACGTCGTTGACGACGCCGCGCGGGCGGAGCTGGAGGTGGCGGCAACGTCGCGCGGGGCCCCGCACGGCCCTTCAGGACGGGGGCCCCGCGGGGACAGCCCCGCTCGGCGCACCGTGGCGAGACCGCCCACCCTGACTCCGGATCCGCCCTACGTTGGGGTAATTCGTAAGTGGGGCTTGGAATTTCCGCCTCACTTTTCAAGCCCCGCTGGTGCCAATTTCCGCTCTACTTTTCTGTTGCTGTTTCTGTGGATTTCCGCCCTATTTTATGTTGGGTGCAGCAATTTCCGCCTTACTTTTTCGGCTCCTTATAGGTGGATTCCCGACGCAATTTTAAGTTGGAAAAAGGCCGAAGTAGGGCGGATCTGGAGTCAGGGCAGACAGAGCAGGAATAGCCGCAGCGGCGCTGCGGCAGGAGAAGGCGGCGGGGAAAGGCCCGTGAGCCACCCTCCCACGCATCGTCGGCCCTTTTGTGCGGGTGCGAGCGGCGTGCAGGGGGCACGGGCTGGTAAAAACAGCGGGCCCATGGGGGGCCGGCTTTCCTCGCTTCCTCGCGGCTCCTCTCGCCCCCCCCCCCCCGTTTCGGCTTCATTCACGGATGATTCCCACCCATAGGGGGGGCATCGGGTTCCTCGGAGTGGCAGGCGCCCTGCGCGCAGGGCCCGGGGCACCGCCACCCATCAAAGGGGAAACCCCGTCACGTCAGAATTCCTTTTTGCCGCTATCGCACCGCCTGTAGGGCTCATCGAGGCACGCCCCCGCGTGCCAGCACGGGCGTGTAGCCCATTTTCCGGCCCGACGTCTGCGGCCATGTGGCCTCAAGCGCTCGGCCGTTTCTGAATACTCCGGATTCCGTAACAAAGTGGGGGGGGGCACATTCGGGGGGGGTCTAATTTGAGCTGTCTTGGAGGCTTCGGGGGGGTCTGGGCAAAGGGCCGCCCTTTCATGGATAGTCTGGGGGGTATAAAACTTATTGTTTGGGAGGGTTGTGACCCCCTCCCTTTTATTACGGAATCTGGAGTACCCACCCACGCCCCCTCGGATGCGTCGAGCTCCTGTGAGCGGAAGGTGCCCTGCAGACAGGGCCCTTGGCACCGCCACCCACAGAAGGGGAACCACCGTCGCCCCACCATTCCCCCCGTTATCGCACCGCTTGCCGCTTGCCGCCGATAAAAAACGGCACGCAACACAACGCCAAACACTGCAACAAAAATGCAGAGCAATGCGGACAAGTGCAACGCATAGCAATGCCACAGCAACGCGGCGGCGACGGCGACCGCACAGTAGCCAAACCGACGGGCAGGTCCAGAGCGACGGAGCGACGGGGCGCCGACGGCGACCGCATAGCCGCCAGACCGACGGGCAGGCCCAGAGCACGGGCGGCGGCGAAACGGCTACGGGGCGGCGGCGGCGACCGCATGGCCGCCGGACTGGCAGGCAAGCCCTTGTCGTTAGAAGAGAACTGGAAGTGCAAGCACAGTTTGGGGAAGATACATACACACACACGAGAGAGAGAGAGATAGAGATAGAGAGAGAAATAGAGACAGGGAGAAATAGAGAGAGAGAAAGATAACCAAAGCGGTCCTCAGCAAGAGGCTCGTGGCCCAGGCCAGAACCCCCTCAGGACCCCACCCTCCGGAAATTCCTCAGGACGACGGACCTTGAGAGGGGTCTCGCAGGCCCGGGCGAGCCTTGGGAGACCCTCCAGAGATCCTCCCCCTCCGCCCGCCCCGCGACCGACCCAGGGTGGAAGGAGGGCGAGTGCGGAGGGGGAAGGATGGCAGCATCAGGGCACGGCGCAGGTCATCACAACTCGTCGCTGCCGTCGCCTTCCCCGCGCCCCTCCCCACTCCCCCACGCTGGCGCGGCCGGCAAGTCGGCTGGCGGATATGAAGTTCATCGCACGGGTGAGGGAGAGCATGATGAGGACGAGGACTGCAATTTCAGGCGCCAGGTCGGTGCCGAGGGCTCGTCTTGAGGGCCACCTCGGGCTTGACGCCGATCTCCTGGGGAGGGGGAGGTGGGAGTGCGCAGACAGACGTCACCACGACCCACAGCCAGGAGGCATTGATCAGGCGATCGCAAAGATGCATCAAGGGGGCGTGGATTAGCGACGGGTCCCGTTTCCATGGGAAGTCGCGGACTTCCGCCGCCGAGCGAGGCGGCACCGGCCGCATTTTGGGGAGGGCACCTCCCCCGATCCAGGGATTTGGCGACCGCGCGCCAAATCCATGGATCGCTGATCCATGTTTGCGCGCCCCCGAATTGACGCAAAATGATGCGCGCAAGCCGTGTATGGATCGTACGGAAGGGAACGTGGGGAGAAAGCACCATCCCTCGGACGGCGTTGAATTCGATTGAATGGGCAGGTGGCGCATGCCAGAAGTTGACGGGGACGCGTGCACAGGGTATGCTTGTCCCGCTCTGGTCGGCCTTATCCCGCTCAACTGGATCCACCCTCATCACCATCTGCATCTCCTCATTATCATCAGCAGCATCATCATCATCTCCACCACCACCCTCATCGTCATCAGAACCACCACCATCCACATCCTCCACATACCCCCTCCTCGGCCACACCAGCACCTTACCTTCCACTCTTCTCCTCGTCTTGCCTTCCCCCTCCAGTTCCTTCCCCCTCTCTCCAACCTCTTCCCTCCCATGTTTTCTCCAGTAGCCACCTCGTCTCCCGAAGCATCCTTGTCCCCGTCTGCCTCGTTCCACTCCGCATCAACTTTGTTTTACGTTCGGCCGACATTGAGCTGCGAAGCTCGTCACACCTGAGAGCCGCCTCGGTACTCGTACTCCTGTCTGTCCGCCTTTCTCTGCTTCACCACCCGGCTCTCAAGAATCGCCAACTCATGCGCCAGCGGGACAGAACAACCAACCAAGCAGCCAGCGTGGCAGGGCTCAGGAGGGGCAAGCAGGAGGGCACAGTAGGCATCCATACCCCCTTGGGCACGAAAACGGCAGCCAGAGCCAGAGCACTGCACCTGCCAGAACCGATCGGAGGACCAGTTTCCGGGCCGTAGGCATCGGAGTCCTGGGCCGGTCGCTGACATCCCCCCCCCCCAATGGGCGGTTGCCCTGGGGGTGGAGAGCGATCAAAGTAGGGAGCCTGTAGAAGTAAAGAAGCGTTCAGCGGAACCACGAGGGCGGAGAAGCCGCGCAAGGGCGCAGAGTATCCATGTCCTCCAGAGACCCCTTGGGGGGGGGAGTGGGGCGAAACCACGGCGACGACACTACGACTAAACAGTGGAGGATGCACAGTGGTTGAAGGGAGGGAAAGAGTGGGATGTGGCTGTGGGTGGCGGTGCAGTAGGCCAGACAGCGCGAACACCAAGTCCCCACCCAAAAACCTTCCCTCCCAACCATCATCTTGGCCCTCCGCAGAGGTGTGTGCCCATACCACGGGCGCGCGCCGATGAGGAGGAGGAGGAGGAGGAGGAGGAGGAGGAGGAGTAGGAGGAGGAGGACCAGGAGGAGGACGAGGAGGAGGAGGACCAGTGTAAACCCAAAAGTCATCAACGATGTTGGAATAAACCCTCCCTCCAAGATCCCTCTTCATAGGCCCCTCCAAGGGTTCATTTCCACTGAAGGAACTGCGTCGTTGGAAGGCAATCGTTTGAAGGCCCTGACGCATGCCAAAACATCGTTCTCGGGATTCCATCGCCACGGATCAACCTGACGGCTGCGTCTTGACGATCCTGAATCGTACGAGAACGCCATTCTTGGGATTTGAACGCCGCGAATCAAAGCAAATGTTGCGCCCTCATAATCCTGAATCTGTCCAAAAAAAACACCAATTCTGGTACGCTGACCATGGGAACCCGTGAAACTCTTGCAGATGTTTAAAACGAATGTACGCGGCGCTAAAGCGAGAGCCACATTTTGAAAACCACCCACCCTCAATCCGTGAAACTCTTGCAAATGTTTGAAACGAATGTGCGCGGCGCTAACGCGAGAGCCACATTGTGAAAACCACCCGCCCTCCATTTGAGAAACTGCGGTCAATTGTTGAGCTTCAAGGTCATAATGCTGAGGAAGTCTCAGGCGAAACGCCCGGACCGCTCTAAAAACTGGCCTCGGGGTGCGACAGGGAGAATATATTTATAGGGAAAAGGCATGGAGGTGGAGAGGGGGGAACGGGCCAGTAAAATGGAAAGCAAAGAGTGGGCAGCGGAGAGTATATTGGCCGGCCTTGTGAATGAAAATGTTGATCCATGCTGCTCTTGTGGTCGGCAGGTCGTGCATTGAGCCGATGGCTCGATAAGTACCGAGGATGGTCGCACAGTAGAAGGATGGACAGACTCTGTTCCCTCCCACCGAGCCCCTCGGCATAGTTTGCACCGAAGATAGGTGATGGTCCCAGAGGAACACATCATGATCGCACCCGCTGATCCCCTCGAGCCCCTCGGTATAGATTGCACCGAAACTGGTGCTGGTGATGCGGAGCGTATGTGTTACCAAACACACTCGTGGGTACTGTAGCACTGGCCTTAGCGATATCGGGACTGCCGGGCAACAGGCAGAGGGGCTACATGAGTGTGAATGTGTTCGCCAGCCCAGCGACTGGAAGTGTGGAAGATGTATCTATCTTCTATGCTTAACTTTAGTTGCGCCTAGGTCTAATCCACTGGACAGGTTTCCGCCACAGCTCATAGTGAAGGACCGCGTTCTAGCCCAAAGGGGTTCCCTCTTCTCTCTCGCTCGTCGCTCGAGCCGGGCCGATTCGCAGCAGTCGAGCAAAGGGGCCGACCCGGTGACCGCACAGCGAGCGCTGGATGGAACGCTTGCTCCGCTCTCCTCGAATCCTCCCGCCCGCGTCTCCCTCCCTCGCGGGCTGCAAGCAGAAGAGCTGCACACGGAGGCGGAGGTCCGCGCGCAAGGGCTCCGGCTGCCAAGCGGACCTCGGCCCGAGGCGTGCGACGCTCGGGCGAGCGTCGAAGGCGCCTGCGCCTCCGCGCCTGCGCGGGGGCGCAGCTCCAGGGCCGCGAGGGACGAGCTTTGTTTTCGTGCCAGTTGCTGGCCAGGTCGCCGGATGGTGCAGGTGGCAGCTCAGAGATCCAAAGCCTCCAGCAGTTCACATTGATGGCGGCTCACCACCGTTGTCAGAGAGTGAAGTCCGAAGGTAGCCCCAGCGTCGGTTGCGACGCCATGCCGCTAGCATGGGGTTGTCGTTGTCCAGGTCGGAGCGGCCTCCTTCGTAGTTCTCGGAATCTTCCCCTTCCAGCTCGTTCGTGCCCGAATTACGGATGTCCCCCTCGGATCCCTCGGCGTGGAAAACGGAGAGGTTGCGACAAGGCGGTGGCGGGCGCCACGCTGGGATTCCGACGATGGGGTTGTAGCCAGCGTCTTTGCCCCGCATGCCGTTGTCAGTGGCGCGGTGTGGCACCGGGCCATCCGCCCACAGCCCAGGCGTTGGTGACTCGCAGTTCCCTGCATCTTCCTCCACCAGCTCGTCCGCGCCAGAGTCATGCATGTCCTCTTCGGAGCCCTCGCCATGAACCGGAGGTTGATAAACCTCCTTTCCTGACACGTCGATTAGCGAATTCTAGACGCTTCGCGTATCCCCACCAGCCCGTCCAGAAACGACGCCCAGGCGAGTAGAGGGTCGTCCTGATGGGCTTTTCGGCGTCTTGGGTGCCTCGGGGGGGCCTCTGTGGGCCGTTCGGGATCCTCTTTGGGGCCTCCTGGGGGCCTCTTGGGGCCTCTTGGGGCCATCTTGGGGCCTCTTGGGGGTCTCTTGGGGGCCTCCTGGGGGCCTCTTGGGGGGCCTCTTGGGGCCATCTTGGGGCCATCCTGCAGCCTCTTGGGTCATCCTGGGGGCCTCTTGCGGCCATCGTGGAGGAAATCGATCAAAGAAGAGGGGAGCCTTAATTAGCGTTGCCCCCTGAGAAGGCCAAAATAGGGCCAAAACCATAGTAAAATCAATGTTTTTGGCTTCCTCGCCAAGGCCGTTTTGGACGCTCTGACCGCTCCCCGCCCCTCCGGTCCAGGTCAGTGGGGAGGGGGTAGGGGGAGGGGTAAACCCCTCCCCGAAGGGGAAGAGGGAGGGGTGGAAGAGGAAACTCGTTAAACCACCGACGCCCAGAGGGCTGGTGGGATTGGCCGCTTTCGGTTCGCGAGAGGGCGTCGCGGCCGTCTTTTTTTGCGGGTCCAGGTCCGTCGGTTTCGGTCCTAGGCCGTTTTCACTAAAGGGTGGTTTACTAAAGGGAGGTTTGTCCATCGCCGCAGCACAGGGGTTGCGACGAGGTGGCGGCGGACGCCTGCTCGGGGGCCGATGGTCCAGCCGCCGTCCCTGCCTGCCACGCTGCCGACAGTGGTGCAGTGCGGTGCCAGGCCAGCCGCCCGTCGACAGGCAACGATAGGGGGGGATAGGCATAGGGAGGGATGCATCGACCCCCAATTGCCCATTGATCGCCGATAGCCAGGAAGGTGCGGAGTCACTATCGAGGGCCTATCGCCGATCCGTCGGAGATGTATCGCCGATTCCATGTCGATGCATCCCCCCTATGCCTATCCCCCCCTATCGTTGCCCCTCACTCCACCTTCTTCTGCAAGCGGCACTCCTCTTCAGCTTTCTCGTCGTTGTGAGAGTTGCCTTCCGTGGGCCGGGGGGTGCTGGTCGGCTCGTCGTCGTTGCCGACCTCCGCGTCGGTGCCGTAGCCCTCCTAGCAGCCAAGGTTGCTGTCTTCGACGAAGACAGCAGCCTTCGTGACGTCGCATGACCTCCTTGAAGGATTCGGCTGAGTCTGCGTAGACGAAGTCGTAGGCGAAGGCCTTGCCCTCCGTCTCCTGGATGGCGGGGCCGAAGGGCGGCAGGACGAATTCGAGGGCCTCCCACCGAAAAATCATAATTAGAAGCGCCTCGTCGTTGTAGTCGCTCTCGTAGCTTCATCTTGCGATAGCCCCGTGGTCGCCAAACGCGGTGGCCCCGCATGTGCAAGTCTTTGCAGCGGTGGGATATGGACGACGGTATACTCGCATGTGCACTGGATCATGTTGCCGGCTGGCCCCGCCGCTCGTCACGCAGCTCCTTGTCCAGGGTGGCCCAGTCGGCGTTGGGCCAAAGGTGCCGTGGATCGGCGATGTGTGCCCACTGCCCGCGTCGGGCAGCACCGGCGAGCCGTCGCGCCGCGGCGCGTGCCAGCCTGCTGCCCCAGAGTGGCCCGTGAAGTTCTCGCAGCGCTGCTGCACTTCGTGTGCAGGCTCTGGCTCGCGGGCCCCTCGGTCGCCATGGCAGCCGGGCGAAGCGTCTGGCCGTCCACCCTTCCAGGACCTCACGGAGATTGCCCCCCCCCCCCCCCCGAGAAGCGGCATCTGGACGACCAGGTCGTCCTTCTCCCCTTCCCCTCTCGCGTCTTCTGCCGCGGCTCCAGAGTCCAGTGGCGGGGGCACGGCCTCCCGAGGCCTCCGCGTGCGCAGCGGCCTAAACCTCTCCAGACCTCCGACGCCGTGACTCTCTCTCGAGAGGCGGGCGCCAGAACTATGAGAACCCTTCGGGGGCGGACAGAACCCCCAACAGTGACACGTCGATTAGTGAATTGTCCGTTTTCGGTCCTCGAGAGGGCGCCGCGGCCGTTATTTTCCAGGCTTGCGCCCGCCAGATTTGGGCCTCAGGTCGTTTTCACTAAACCACGTTTTACTAAAGGGAGGTCTGTCCATCCCCGAACCCTGGACCTCGTCCCTGGGACCGCTTTCTCGTCGCCCGTCGTTCTCTCATGCCCAAAAAGACCCGCGCCAGGCTCCCCTGGGGGCACAGTGCGCACACGAAACTGTGAATCAGCCGCCAGGGTGATCTTATGATGCCTGAGGCGGCCTGAGCCCTTCAAACCGAAGGCCAGAAGTAGAAGAGCGACAAACGGCGTAACCGTAAACGCTCGGATGACCTACGTAGTCGATTTCTTGGGTTGGCGCTGGACCACCCTTCCCCTCCCACACCCATTCTCTGGCGCGCGGAGTGCGCAGGGGGCAGCGCCAGAAGCGCTGCCAGGGGTGACAGGGCATTGCCGACCTATCGAAAGCGTGTGGGCGTTTGTACTTCTTACGGGGGGTTCTGACCAGCATCCGATGGATTGACTTGTTCCAACCCACGGGGCCTCTTTCCACAAGGACAGTCTTCCACCCGGAATATACAGTTGATGAGCCGTGGGTCGCGGAAACAGGCCCCTAGAGGTCGAAGTGTTGAAACGATTTGAGGATTTTGTGAAAATCGATCCGCCCGAAGTCTCGTCAGGATACAGCCCTTGGGAGGTTGAATTCAGCATCGGCGCTGCCATATCCGTGGTCGAAGTCTGAACGAACCTGGCCTAAGATTCTGCATTCCGGCGCCATCCATCTGAATCTGGTCTGATCCGGCTGAATCCGGCTTCATCTTGGGCTCGACTCCTCCCTGATGGTCCTGCTCATCGCGCCGGTGAAGACTTCCCCGGGAGCTGCCCCCTGAGGCTTTGCACCGCCGTTTTCGTTCCGTCCTCGCCGCAGCCAGCCCTTCGCGGGTGCTGCTGGCAGTGCCCATGGCCCAAGGTGCCCCCAGGATTTCCAAGGAGGCCCCCGCGTCCTCCAGAGCACCCCTAACGTGGCCCGGAGGGCTCCAGGAGCTCCAGAATGCAGCGACAAGCTGGTCGATGCGCGCGCTGCGGCGGGCGCCCGTGTGGCGACCAGTTGGGCATTTCTCAACTCGCTGCTGTGTTTCACGCTGCCTCTGCATTGTCTCGGCGGCAGCCGCGCTGTGGGAGCTTCTGCGGCCGTGCTCTCCTGCTTGTTGCTCCCCCCAGGGGAGAGCAAGGACGAAGCGACATGCTCGGGGCACCTTGGGCCAGTGACACCTTTTCAGCAGCCCCAGGCGTCCGCTGCACCTGGCGCAAGGGGCAGCGCCCGCGCGGCAGGCCCCCCTCCTCCAGCCGCCGCGCCGCGGCGCGGCAGATCTCGGCGGCTGCCTTCTGCGGCGCGCGGCTGGGCACGCCCAGCTGGTGGCAGGCCCCCGCCGCGGCCATGGCCAGGCGCCGGTCGTCGGCGATGGCGTCGTCGTGGCTCGCCGTCGGCGTCGCCGCGGCTCGTCGTCGACGTCGCCGCGGCTCGTCGTCGTCGTCGTCGTCGCGGCTCGTCGTCGACGTCGTCGCGGCTCGTCGTCGTCGTCGTCGTCGTCGTCGTCGTCGTCGTCGTCGTCGTCGTCGTCGTCGTCGTCGTCGTTGTTGCAGGACCCAGACCCCTTCGGATCTTAAAAATCACGACGGGAGGCTTGTGGCTGATCATTCTCGGCCTCCGGGAGCCTGCAAGGCCTCGGGGGGATGCATTCCGGGGGCCCGTCAACAAAACTGCTCCGGATGAAGAACTGGTCCCGGGAGGTGTGTCGAGTCGTGACCTCTTGGAGGTCCACGCCATAAAGCAAAATCATGACGTCGGGGGTCTGGGGGGGAGGAGGGGGTCGCCGGGATGCAGCCGGGCGCTGCCCCAGCTGTACGCCGACGGTGCGCGGAGTAAGCGAGGAGAGCATCCCCCCGCGACGCTGCCGGTGTGCGTGGTCGCCCTCCGGTGCCAGGGCCAGAGCGGCCGACGGGGTCCCCCGCTGAGATGAGGAGAGAATGCGAACGCCGTAATTCGGTGACCCTGTGGCCCCTCTGTGGCAGGAGGGGTCCTTTTTTCGGAGGCCCTCTGTGGCAGAAGGGGTCGTCATCCTCGTCCTCGTCACCCTGCTTCTCGCATGTCCATCTCTCACGCCAATTCTGCGCCCATCATCTTCGTGCTTGTGACCACTAGGTGGAGAGTGCGACCTTTATGCCGAGAAGAAATCATCTGGAGGAAGGGGGGGAGGAGGGCAGGGGCAGCGGGGCGGAGCGGATGAGCGTGGCGTGTGCTGAGCGTGAGCGCTCGCTCAGCGTTGCGGCACTCCCCGCGCGCGACGGCGGAGCTACGGCACGGAACCCCATCCAAACCTGCGGGCGGGCCTCGATGTTGCGATGGGGCCCAGGAGAAGACCGGCCCAGAGATCAGGGGGGCCAGATAGAAGAGGTCTACGAGAGGAGGAGGGTCAAGCTAGGCACGCTCGCGCCACATCCGATATCCCACACCTCAGCCGCGTCTCCGCATGGTCTTCATGTCGGGAGGCACTATGCGCATTTCTCTCTTGAGCCGCTGTGTCGGGCCTCACGCTGTAAGTGGCCGTTGGGACCACATGGGGATTGATGCACACACAGCGCTATGTTCCGTTCGCCTTTCCTCCTCTTCATCATCATCATCATCATCATCATCATCATCATCATCATCATCATCATCATCACCATCATCATCATCATCATCATCGTCATCATCATCACCATCATCACCATCACTATCACCATCACCATCACCGTCACCATCACCATCACCATCATCATCATCATCATCATCATCATCATCATCAGCATCAGCATCAGCATCAACATCATCATCCTCTCCCCTCCTCGTGGTCAGTACCCTGGGGTCGCGGATCTGCATCACGATCCCTTTTAGGTATATTTGGAGGCATTCTAGCCTGCCGATTTCCGCCGATTTGACTTTTCCCGACTCGGCTGCCGATTTTCGCCGATCCGATGCATATCGATCGCTGATCCGACTTGCCGATTCGATTCTGGGCTCTCTTGCAAGAACGCCGAAGCATAACAAAACATCTGGCATCCTACCCCTCTCATCCATCCCTTCCCACTGCGCTGTTGTTTCTCAGTCCGCCGACGAGTGTCATAGCGGACCTGGACTCCAACGAGGACCCCATCGCGTTATGCGCAGTCGAATAAAAAACTGCGTACATTGGAGGAGGTGGTGGCAGATGAGCAGGAGGATGAGCATGAGGAACAGAATGATGATTAGGAAGGAGGCGGACGAGGACGAGCAGCAGCATCAGGAGCCAGACTGGAAGTAGCGGGAGGAGAAGGAGGACCAGGGGAAGGCGGAGGAGGAGAAATGAGGGCGGCGACAACGAAGAAAAAGGATTCGGATCCAGACAAGTGGTCCGCGCTGGAGGAAAGGGGAGGAGGAGGAAGAGGAGGAGGAGGTGGAGGAGCAGCAGGAGGTGCAGCAGGAGGAGGGGGCGGAAAGGGGGAGGAGGAGAGGGAGAGGAAGGGAGAAGGAGGGGAGGAGGGAGAGGAGGAGGAGGGGAGGAGGAGGAGAAGGAGGAGGAGGAGGAGGAGGAGGGGAGGAGGAGGAGGGGAGGAGGAGGAGGAAAGCAGGAGGAGCAGGAGGAGGAGGAGGAGGAGAGGAGGAGGAGGAAGGAGGAGGAGAAGGAGGAGGAGGAGGAGGAGGAGGAGGAGGAGGAGAGGAGGAGGAGGAGGAGGAGGAGGAGGAGGAGGAGAAGAGGAGGAGGAAGACGAGGTGGAGGAGGAGGAGGAGGAGGAGGAGGAGGAGGAGGAGGAGGAGGGGGAGAAGGAGGAAAGGAGAAAGGAGGAGGGGGAGGGGGAGGGGGAGGAGGAGGAGAAGGAGGAGGAGGAGGAGGAGGACGACGACGAGGAGGACGGAGGGGGCCGGTCGCGGCGTTAACTCCAGGCGCGGCGGCGGCGGAGAGCCGCGGCGGCGAAACCGCGGCGGCGAGGGCGATCGCGGCCGGATCTTCGTATGCGGGCTCCTGCCCGAGTGCGAGGACGAGGACCTGCTGCGGCACCTCGAGGGCAGGGCTTGTTAGGATTCCTGCGGCTCGAGTTGGCCTCCATGGCTTCCAGTTCCGATTCGATTCGGCCTGGGATTCCGATTAGGGCCCCGATTTTTCTCATTGGAGGCATACTGGTAGCCTGCCGTTTCCCGCCGAGTCGACTTCTTTTCCCGACTCGGCTGCCGATTTCCGCCGCCGCGATTCAGGTCGACCGCCGATCTGGCTTCTGGATCCGATCCTGGGCTCTCCTACGAGGGGGGCGCGGGCCGAGGCTCTCGGCCCTTTTCTGGCCCCTAGAGTCCAGAGGCCTCCCTCCCCCCGGGGACCTCCCAAGGCCCCAGGCCCCCCAGGGATCTCTCTGGGGACCTCAGGACACCTCCGACGGGTGGAGGAGGAGGAGGAGGAGGAGGAGGAGGAGGAGGAGGAGGAGGAGGAGGAGGAGGAGGAGGAGGAGGAGGAGGAGGAGGAGGAGGAGGAGGAGGGGAGGGGGAGGGGGAGGGGGAGGGGGAGGGGGAGGAGGAGGAGGAGGAGGAGGAGGAGGAGGAGGAGGAGGAGGAGGAGGAGGAGGAGGAGGAGGAGAGAGGAGGAAGAGGAGGAAAAGGAGGAAAAGGAGGAAAAGGAGGAAAAGGAGGAAAAGGAGGAAAAGGCGGAAAAGGAGGAAAAGGAGGAAAAGGAGGAAAAAGAGGAAAAGGAGGAGGAGGAGGAGGAGGAGGCGGAGGAGGAGGAGGAGGAGGAGGAGAAGGAGCAGGTACTTCACCAAGTTCGGGCGCGTGGACTCCGCGAGCGTGTGCCGCGCGAAGGACACCGACCTGTCCCTCTGCTGCGGCTTCGTCTTCATGGGCGACGCGAACACGGCGGCCGCCGTCCTGGAGGCGAAGGCGGAGCACCGGCTCTGGGAGCACCCGGTGCAGGCCTCGAGGGAGCCCGCGGCCGAGTTCGCCGCCCTCATCGAGGATCGAGTCGGGCACGTCCCTCCACAGGAGGCATATTCAAACATAATCAAAAGATAGCCTGGGGACGCTTTCGGTTTGGCTGTGCTTGATGTGCTTGCGACTATTTTGGGGGTTTTCTTCAAAAATCCGTCCGCAGGAGGGCGTGCCCGACCTAAATCGAGGAGCTGGGCGTGCCGCAGAGGAGACTGGCGCCTCGCAGGGCGCAGGCCGACGCCACAGCGGCGCCGCCGCCAGCGGACGGCGCGGCGGCCGAGGCCGCGGAGGGCGGCCCCGGCCCCAGCGCGGAGGCCGCGGGCGCGGAGGGGGCGGAGCCGGCGGAGCATCGGCCGAGTCGGGGCGGGCAGGACGAGGGCTGGCTCTTCGTCGGCAGGATCGAGCACGAGACGAGCGAGCAGGATCACTAGTTAGGGGGAAAAGAAACCTACCTCACTTTTGACCACCCCCGCTTCCAAGAGATACCAAGCGATGCCAACTTGCAGCCTGTACTGGTCAGGCCGCTTGACGAGGAGGCGCGTGGTACGGCTTGGTTGTGCCTGGAAGCGAAAGCGGGGCAGGTAATTCACGTTCCAAGGATCTCGAGGCCATGTTCGCAGCAGCTGGTGCGGTGGAGAAGGTCGAGGTCATGAGGGACCGGGACGGCGTCTCCAGGAAGTTCGCCTTTGTGAAGATGTCGGACCAGGCCACGGCGGACTTCATCCTGAGCAGCGGCCAGGAGACCACTGTTATCCCCTGGCGATGACGGGCGTGGCCGGGGAACAGAAGGGGGGAAGAGGCCAGTATCAGGAAGGGGAAAATACAGACACAAATATTCGTCGTTTCCTTGGAAAACATGGGGAAATATGGAAATGGAGGGGAAGACAGAAATCAAGAAAGCGTGCACAAATATGGTAAGTTATGGGATTTTTGTGTTCCTGGGCCCCTTCACGGTAATTAGATGACTGGGGGGGGTGAGATCATTGCGGTGGCCATGATATGTTCCCAGATGTCGTGGCGCCTCTTCTTATCTCAATACGTTCCCAGCCCCCCCCCCCGCTGGGCCGAGTACATGCCGCTGGCCATGATTTGCGCCCCCCCCTGTTGGACGCCACCCCTTCGGACGCCCCCGAATCTCATCCTCGGATCCCATCCTCAGGACCCAATCCCTCAGGACCCTATCTGTGATGCAAATGATCAAGACATGGGCTCCGCAGGAGTTCAAGCTCCCTGGCGGAGGCACGGTGAAGGTGGGGCCCTACACCGGGAGGGTGAAGCGCAGCAGCGACTTTCCAAGAGACGGCCACGACCGTGGGCGCGGCGAGGGCGGCTGGAACGACCGCGGGCGCGGCGAGGGCGGCTGGGACCGCGGGCGTGGCCACGACAGGGACAACCGTGGCCGCGACTGGGACCGCTGGGAAAGAACTCCTGGGAGGTTGAACTCGGCGTCGGCGCTGGCAGATGTGTGGTCGAGACCCGGCCTCATTCCGCTCAGTCCCGCCCAATCCCGCTGGATCCGGCCCTGGGCTTCGCCTGGGCCAAGCCGGCACGGGCATTTTGTAAAATCGGGCGTGTCCCTCTACAGGAGGAGTCCCTTCTCCTCCTCCTCCTCCTCCTCCTCCTCCTCCTCCTCCTCCTCCTGCTCCTCTTCCTCCTCCTCCTCCTCCTCCTCCTCCTCCTCCTCCTCCTTCTCCTCTACAGGAATAGTGAGAAAACGGTCCAGGGACGATGTCTCGTGCTCTTCTGATGATCCGTAAGGGCTTCGCCCCATGCCGCCGGCCCCCTGTCTCGGATCATATGGGAGCTGCCGGAGCGAAATCTCATGAGGCCTGGGCCCGCCGTGGAGAGCAGGGTCGGGACCTGCTTGTGTTTCGGCCCTGGCCCTACGGATCTGCGTGAGGGGTACCAGCGAATGTCAGAACCGTGGCAACTCCCCTGTGTTGTTGGACCCTGACCCCGTCGATCTGCGTCAGGGGTGCCGCCGAATTTCAGAACTGTGGCAAATCCCCTGTGTTGTTGGACCCGGACCCCTACGGATCTGCCTGAGGGGTGCCGCCGGATTTCAGAACTGTAGCAAATCCCATGTGTTTTTGGACCCTGACCCCGTCGATCTGCGTCAGGGGTGCCACTGGATTTCAGAAATGTGGCAAATCCCATGTGTTTTTGGACCCTGACCCTGCCGATCTGTGTGAGGGGTGTCAATTTTTACCCACCCCAGCAATTCAGAGCACACGCTCAGGGCGTGCTAAACCTGCCCGTTTGGGCTTCCCCCCCCTCATCAACAAGGAACAGTAAGCAGCGAGAAGCAGAACTGTAACAGTGGAAACTGGAAGCTGCAACTGGTACAGGAAACTGCGAACCTTCGGCCTACAGCCTGGTGGCCCCACAAGGGGGCCGGCGGATTTTTTTTTCCGTTTGATCATGTGTTCTTCCCAAGCCCGCCCGTAGGAGAGCATGCCCGACCTAAGCTTACTGGCCCCTCTCATCGTTCTTGTGAAAACCTGCCAGCAGTTTCAGAAAGACAATGATCGGGTTAGGAGGATGGGGCTGGGAGGCATGATCGGATCATCACTCCAGTCGCGCGTGCTGCATGTCCTTACTGCACAGAGCCGTGCCCGGTATCTTCCTAATTAACCCCTTCCTCCCAACACGGGGAATTGTCTTTTTCACAGTTGCTTTTTTCATGACGTCGACCCCCAGAGGTTTCGACCTCTTCCCCGGGACCGGTTTTTCGTCCCGAGTCGTTTTTTGCAAGACCCGAGGCCCGGTAGGGGCCCCGAGAGGCCCGAAATGGCGAAAGACCGCCCGTCGTGATTTTTCCATTCCTCGAGGGGATCTGGGGCTGCCTCTGGAGGACCAGGGCCGGGCTGGCGAGTGGGGCGGCCAGGGCGGGGGCCGCGACGACGGCCGAGGCGCGCGCGCGCGGAGCCCGACGGGCGGCCGCGGCCGCGGCGACGACTGGGGCGGAGCTCACGGCCACCACAGCTGGCACGGCGACCGTGGCCCCAGGAGCTGGCGGCGCGCCAGGGGGGGGGGGGAGCTCGCGGGCGGTGTGCGAGGAAGAAGAAACGCCACAGGCATAAACTTGTTGCGCTCCGCGCGGATTTCTTGGATCCGCGCTGGGCCCCCCTGGGCGGCGCCTCCGGCGCCACCCCCTGGCGCGCAAGCCGCGCGCCAGGGGTCCAGCGCGATTCCAAGAAATCCGCGATCTCACGGCTGGCACGGCGACCGTGGCACCAGGAGCTGGCGGCGCGCCAGGGGCGGCTCGTGGTCGGTATGGTCGAGGCTCAGAGGAGGAAAAGGTACACATCGGTCGTTGAAAGCATGTATTTCCCAGTCATCCTGTGGTGTTGGGTCCTCGTTTTGAAGAGACGGTCCCCGCGTCCCTCCTCTCCTCCTCCCTCTCCTCCCTCATCCCATAATCATCATCATCATCATCATCATCATCATCATCATCATCATCATCATCATCATCATCCTCATCCTCATCCTCATCCTCATCCTCATCCTCATCCTCATCCTCATCCTCATCCTCATCCTCATCCTCATCTTCATCTTCATCTTCATCTTCATCCTCATCATCGTCATCATCATCATCGTCGTCGTCGTCGTCGTCATCATCATCATCATCATTATCATCATCATCATCATCATCATCATCATCAGCATCAGCATCAGCATCATCATTCATGTCATTATCATGCATCAGCATCAGCATCAGCCTCAGCCTCAGCATCATAATCATCATCATCATCATCATCATCATCATCATCATCATCATCATCATCATCATCATCATCACCATCAGTCTCATTATCATCATCGTATTCACCCGTTCCAACACACCCCTCACACGCTCCGTGGCCCAAGAGGCAGCTCCACCGAATGCCCCAGTGCCGCCGTCCACATGCGTCCCCCACACCCATGTGGACACATCCCTCGCACGTCTCGTGGCCCCATAGGAAGCGCCACCGAAGGCCCCAGTGCCACCTTCCACATGCGTCCCCCACACCCATGTCTGCACACCCCTCACACGTTTCGTGGCTCCATGGGGCGTTCCACCGAAGGCCCAAGTGCCACCGTCCGCATGCGTCCCCGACACACCGAGTTCGGCACACCCCTCGCACGTTTCGTGGCCCCATAGGGAGCTCCATCGAACTCCCCACCGCCATCGTCCACATGCGCCCCTCCACCCATTTCTGCACACCCCTCGCACGTTTCGTGGCCCCGCAGGGAGCTCCACCGAAGGCTCCAGTGCAACCGTCCGCATGCGTCCATCACCGCCATGTCGGCACACCCCTCACACGTTTCGTGGCTCCATGGGGCGCTCCACCGAAGGCCCCAGTGCCACCGTCCGCATGCGTCCCCCGCACCCATTCCGCCACACCCAGTACAGCGCTTCGTGGCCTCATAGGGAGCTCCACCGAAGGCCCCTGTGCCACTGTCCACATGCGTCCCCCGCATCGATTTCGGCACCCCCCTCGTATGTTTAGTGGCCCCATAGGGAGCTCCACCGAAGGCCCCAGTGCCACCGTCCGCATGCGTCCCCCGCACCCAACCCGCCACACCCAGTACAGCGCTTCGTGGCCTCATAGGGAGCTCCACCGAAGGCCACAGTGCCACCGTCTACATGCGCCCCCCCCCCCCACACACACATTTCGGCACACCCCTTACACGTTTCGTGGCCCCATAGCGAGCTCCACCGAAGGCCCCAGTGCCACCGTCCTCGAGTGCCCCCCGCACACATTTCGGCAAATTTCGGCACACCCCTCGCACGCTTCGTAGCCCCATAGGGAGCTCCACCGACGGCCCCAGTGCCACCGTCCACATGCGTCCCCCACACCCATGTCGGCACACCCCTCATACGTTTTGTTGCCCCTTTGGAAGCTCCACCGAAGGCCCCAGTGCCACCGTCCACTAATGTTCCCCGCACCCATTCCGCTACGCCCAGTACGGCGCTTCGTGGCCCCAATAGGGAGCTCCACCGAAGACCTAAGTGCCACCGCCCACGTGCGTCCCCAACACCCATTTCTCCATCCCACTCAGACGCTTCGTGGTCCCATAGGGAGCTCAACCGAAGGCCCCAGTGCCACCGTCCGCGCCCCCGCACCCATTTCGGCACCCCCCGCACACGTTTCGTGACCCAATAGGGGGCCCCACCGAAGGCCCCAGTGCCAACTTCCACATGCGTCCCAAACACTCATGTCGGCACACTCCTCACACGCTCCATGGCCCCATTGGCAGCTCCACCGAAGGCCTCAGTGCCACCGTCCACATGCGTCCCCCACATCCATGTCGGCACACCCCTCATACGCTTCGTGGCACCATAGGGAGCTCCTCCGAAGGCCCCAGTGCCACCGTCCACATGCGTCCCGCACACCCATTTCGGCACACCGTGGCCCCAAAGATAGCTTCACCGAGGGCCCCAGTGCCACCGTCCGCATGCGTCCTTCACACCCATGTCGGCACACCCCTCACACGTTTCGTGGCCCTATAGTGAGCTACACCGAAGGCCCCAGTGCCATCGTTCACATGCCTTCCCCGCACCCATGTCGGCACATTCTCTCAGACGTTTCGTGGCCACATAGGCAGCTCCATCGAAGGCCCCAGTCCCACCGTCCACATGCGTCGCCCACGCCCATGTCGGCACACCCCTCACACGTTCCATGCTCCCATAGGGAGCTTCACCGAAGGCCCCAGTGCCACCGATCGCATGCGTCCCCTACACCCATTTCGGCACACTCCTCACACGTTTCGTGGCCCCATAGGGAGTTCCACCGAAGGCCCCAGCGCCACCGTCCACATGCGTCCCACACACACACACACCCATTTCGGCACACCACTTACGGGGCTCGTGGCCCCATAGGGAGCGCCACCGAAGAAGATATTCACAATTGCGGTGCGCGCAATTGCATATGGTTGGGTCCTTCGCCAGGCTAATACTGGATTCCCAGATCTAAATTTCCATCTTCTCCTTCTGGGACACTTGGCCCTCGTTGCCACCGTTGGATTCGCTTCGAAATCCGGGTCAGGACGCACCCTGGGAGAGGTCCGGGGAGTAGCAGCATCGGTACCTTTTGTTTTCCCAGGGGTGCTCGCCGGTATTCCCACCAAAGAATGTTCTAAGAACCTTTTGTGGCCTGCACGAAATGTTCTCAGAACGTTCCTGGCCGAGACCATCTTGTTTTCACCCATCGGGCTGATGATCTAAGAACACTACTTTGTTATCAGACATCGCTTTCGTTCTCAAGACATGCTGGGTCCAGGAGCATCTCGTGGCAGGCCTATGGCATGTCGGGACGGCCGGTCCCTGCTCGACAGGTGGGGGCCGTGGTCGGTATGGTCGAAGCGGAAGTGGGTGCGAACATGATGGGGAGGATCGAAGAGAGCAGCGTCAGAAACACACACCTTCGGGGGTCCGCGCGGGTGTCTAGCGTCGGCGGGGGGCCCCCCCTTGCGGCACCCTGTGTGCCGACAAGGGCGCGCTTCCCGCATGCCAGGCGGCGGGGCCCAGCAGGCCTCCAGGAGATTCTGCTTGCGTGGCTCGCGTCCTCCCGACGAGGGCTGACGGCACTGCCTGTCCGTCTCGAGCAGGGCTCGCTGTGGGTGCCGCCCCGGGCGCTGCCCACTGGGGACAGAAGGCCGCCTGCCCAACAGCGGCCGCTGCCGACGTTGGACAGCCTTTGCCGCTACACTCAAAATCCATGGTAAAGACGCGCGCCCTCTCCCAAGGTACCCTTGCGTCCTCTCCCTCCTCCACCTCCTCCTCTTCCTTCTCCTCCTCCCTCCTCCTCCCTTTCCTCCTCCTCCTCCTCTGGCCTCCAAGGGCCTTGCGTCCTTACCTCCCGTCCTTATCACAGATGTTGACTGTAGGTGGTTTGCCCATGTGTGACCGTAACTGCTTGCGTCGGGGGTCCCAGTCTGGTTTCGGATATATTTGGGAGATTTTCTGGGTGTTCTCGTCGCCGCAGCTGGACGCGGCTCGTGGCCCCGGACGGGGTCTGGCGACCGATTCTGGGCGAGGGGGGCGGCATGCTTAGCAGGCGATGGGTTCCTTGGAAGCCCTACCGCCATCGAAGGAGCTAATTTCAGAGTCCTCCTGGCGCTTCTGCACGGGCAGGGGACTGGTATGACTATGACCCACCTTCGCGTGATCACCAGACAGCGGTCACGTAGCCGACGGCGCCGAGATGAAAATGGATCCTCCGCAATACAACGAGCAGCTACGCTACAGTCGACCCGCATAGTAAGGATGGGCAACCTTCCCAAGGGTGCCCTTACATCCTTGTCTCCTCGGGCCATCCTCGGCGACTCTCGCTGGCCAACCTCGTTCGAAAAACGCAAACGTGGCCCTCCAAGGCCTTTGCATCCTTTACCGCGCATCCTTGTGATACGGGTCCACTGTACTCCAGCCGGATCAGAACTTCCACCCAGGTGGAGTAAGATGCCCCTTTCTGCCTCCTCGGAGGCTGCGCCTCTCCCTCCCCCCCCCCGCCTTGCGGTCGGCAACGCTCGGCTCAGCGTGGCGCGCCGCCGGCTCTGGCCCACCCCGCTGCGGCGCGACACGCCGACCACGCCCCAGCCCCCAGGCGTCCGCGTCCCCAGCCTCTCCAGGTCCCCCACCCCGCGCAGCGGAGAGTGATGAGCCTGTTTTCCACCACCACCACCATAAGTTGGAGGGGGGAAGGAGGAGGAGGAGGAGGAGGAGGAGGAGGAGGAGGAGGAGGAGGAGGAGGAGGAGGAGGAGGAGGACCCCCCTCAAACTTATGGTGGTGGTGGTGGTGGAAAACACGCCCATCAGAGAGGGACCCGCTGCCCGGTCGCAGGACAGCGTGTCCCCAGACCCCCGACGTCGTGCCTTTTTCGTGACGCCGGCCCCCAGAGGTTTCGACCTATATTCCCCGGAAGCGGTCTCCAGGCCCGGGCAGGGCTCCCATGAGGCCGAAAATAGCCGAAAGCTTCCCGTCGTGATTTTGTCGACGCGCGGGGAGGTCTGGGCTGAGCCAGGGTTCCGGGCCGTGACTTCCTCCGCTCGGAGGAGCTACGCGCGGACGCCCCCGCCGCCGCCGTCCAGGCAGGGTGCCGACCGCCACGCGGACCGCGGGCCGGCCCGGGACTACGGTGGCGGCGCCTACGCGGGCGGCGGCGCCTACGTCGACGGACCCATCGGAGGAGGAAGTACCAGACCCCTGGTTCGGTAGCAAACCATGGGAGCCTTGTGCACCCTCGCAAGTCTGTCTTCAGCGTCGGTTGGCGTCGATTAGCGTTCGGGAGTCGATGAGGTAGCGCCGATGCAGCGTCGGCTAGCTTTCGATGAGCGTCGATGTAGCGCCGATGAGCGTCGATGTAGCGTCGATTTAGCGTCGACCAGCGTCGATTCGCAAGAGCCGACAAGGTGGTATGGGAGGCTCCCATGAACTGCCACCGAACTCTGGCGGATCCGTTTGGGCGAGTGCCTCGGGAGTGTCGTAGGCAGGGATTTGGGCCACCTGCCTGATTACTTCTGTGTGTGTGTGTTTGAGAAGGATGTAGACACCGTCTGCTACGGCACGAGGCGCCAAGCCGGGGCAGGTGGGCAGCAAAGCCACTGTTGCCATCATGTTGCGGCTTGGGGCACGATCTCTCGGCGAGGCCGGAGGCGGCCCCATCGGAGGAGGAAGCAGTGCCCAGACCTCCTGTCGGATTACGGTCGGCAACTGTTGTTCAGCGTTTCGTGCCGCCAGTTCTGGTCCACCGCGCTGCGGCGCGACACTGCAGCCACGTCCCAGTCGCCACGCGTTCACATCCCGAGCGTTTCTCCGCCCCCCGCTGTGCGGAGCGGGACGACCCGCGAGCCGCTCTCGGGGCACAGCGTGTCGCCAGCGCCGACACGCAGAGCGAAAGTCTTTGACCTTGTTCGTTTCAATGTCGCTCTCTTGTCCGGCTACATGAGCCGTTGTTATCAGGACCTTGGTGCAGGGATATATGACACAGATTGCACCACCTGGCTTGCACCACATATATTGCACCACAGCGGCGGCACCACGTCGATTCTCCTTTCTTAAAAAAAGGGAAGAGACTCTACCCCCCGGGATTATCTGTCCCCCTTCTTCTGGTAGTCCCCAAACGTGGTGGTGACAACACCCGGCGGTGAGTCTCGGGCGATTTGGTGTCACCGCCCGGTTTGGGGACTCGTGCGGTTTTCCGAGGATGTCCCGAACACTGGTAGGTCCAGGAGTCACAAAACCCGGTGGTGACCCGTGTCCCCAAACCCAGCGGTGACCTTTTGTGGGGATTCCAGGTCGCCACCTGGTATCTCACCACCCGGTTTGGGGGTTCCCAATTTTGTCGTTTCGCAATTTACATATGATTCTGCCCCATCGTTCATCCTAAATTTGAACTCGTGCCATCCCAGGCAGGCCGGTATTGACCCCCCTGGCCATCCTCTGCAAATAATTATATGCGCGCGCACTCGCTTATCAAAACGTATCAGATTGCAAGAACCCCTTGCAAAAGTGTAGCTGAGTGCACACGCGCGCGTTGTCGCGCGCGCGTGCCGAATCCTTCAAACACCTTCAGTTTCGTAAGAATTTCACAACCGTGTGTCCAAATAATCATATTATAGCCTGAGTGCAGTATCCCCAAACAGAGTTTTTTAACCCACTGCGGTTTCCAAGGCCGATTGCGTGCCCGTCCAGTGCGGGCTGGCATGGCATGTTAGAACATTAGATGCGGTCTCGCGTGGGCATGTTAGAACATGATAACATGCCAGTGCGGCCTCGCGCGCGGCATCTCGGACCCCAGAGTTGCGACGATGTCTCGGGCGAAACATGCTGCGAGGAAGTCTCAGGCGACACGGGCCGGACCACCTCGAGCGCGGCGTCTCAGAGCTCCGAGTTGCGGGGGCCTCCTGAGGCCTCCTGGGGCCTCCTGGGGACCTGGGGCTTCCTCCGGGGCTACCTGTGGCCTCCTGGACCCTACCTGGGGCTTCCTGAAGCCTCTTGGGACTCCCAGGGGGGGGTATCTAACATGTGGCCGTCTGGGCCCCCCAAAATGGGGGGGGCACAAGAGCAGGAAAAATCAACGAATCGACACCGGATGTGTATTAACTTGACACGTTCTGATAGGGAACCTCCTGGGAGCCTCCTGGGAATGAATCTCCTGGGGACCCCTGGGGCCTGTCCTGGGCGTCCTGCGGCCTCTTGAAGTACTTTGGGGCCTCTTGGGGCTCCCAGGATATGCAACACGTGGTCTTCTGGCCCCCCAGGCTGGACCACCTCTTGCGCGGCATCTGGGAGCTCAGAGTTGCGAGAATGTCTTGTGCGAAACGGGCCGGACCACCTTGCGCACGGCATCTCAGAGCTCAGAGTTGCGAGGATGTCTCAGGCGAAACGGGCTGGACCACGTCGCGCGCGGCGTCTCCGAGGTCAGAGTTACGAGGATCTCAGGCGAAATGGGCTGGACCACCTCTCACGCGGCATCTCAGAGCTCAGAGTTTGGAGGATGTCTCAGGTGAAACGGGCCAGACCACCTCGCGCGCGGCATCTCAGAGCTCTGAGTTTCTAGGGCGTCTCAGACGAAACGGGCCGGACCACCTCTCACGCGGCATCTCGGAATGCAAAAGTGCGAGGACGCCTCAAGTGAAACCAGCCGGACCACCTCATGGGCGGCATCTCGGGGCTCAGAGTTTGGAGGATGTCTCAAGCGAAACGGGCCGGACCACCTCTTGCGCGGCATCTCGGAGCCCAGAGTTTCGAGGATGTCTAAGGTGAAATGGGCTGGACCACTTCTTGCGCGGCATCTCAGAATTCAGAGTTTGGAGGATGTCTCAGGCGAAACGCGCCGGACCACCTCTTGCGCGGCATCTCGGAGCCCAGAGTTTCGAGGATGTCTAAGGCGAAATGGGCTGAACCACCTCTTGCGCGTCATCTCGGAATTCAGAGTTTGGAGGATGTCTCAGGCGAAACGCGCCGGACCACCTCTCGCGCGGCATCTGGGAGCTCAGAATTATGAGGATGTTCTTAGGCGAAACGGTCCGGACCACCTCTTGCGCGGCATTTGGGAATTCAGAGTTTGGAGGATGTCTCAAGCGAAACGCCCAATCCCGTACAACTCAGAAACGAGAGTTGCGAGGATGTCTCAGGCGAAATGGCCCGGACCACCAAATTTTTGGGAGGGCGTCTTTGCTTTGAATTCCTTCGGCCACTGTTAGCTTCTTTCGCAACAGCACCCCGTTCGGCAAGCTGTTTGGGGAATAAAATTACAAGGTTTCGAAACACGGATTTCAAAACAAATTCGCGCGTGTGCTCTTGAATTCTTAAGCTGACCGTCAGTCTTTAAACATTTTTTGAAATTGATACCAAACGGGCTTCGCGCGTGCACATGTCGAAATCGTTCTAACGCCCTTTCGCGCGTGCTGTCGCGAGAATCCTTTTGCAAAAAATGAAACGAAGTACGCGCGCGCGTCGTCGCGCGCGCATGCCGAAATCATTCAAAAACCTTCGATGTCGCAAGGATTTCAAAATCGAGTGTCGAAACAAAAACATAAACCACATGGCTTCGAAACATCAGTTTGGAGGGGAAAAACGGCGCTCGCGCCATTGCGAAATTCAAGAGAAATATTCGTTTGTTGTTCATTTCTTTTAGCGCGTTCATTGAATTCTGCCAAACGCGCCAGTCGCGCCTCATGCCGAAATCATTCGAACAGCCTTGCGCGCGTGCTGGGGGGGCACGATCCGCGACAATTAACACCATGCGGGCCACTCTCGCGCGTCTGCCGCGCGCGCGCGTCGAACTCTTTCCACAACCTTCATCACCGACGCGACGACGCCGTCATCGTCGTCGGCGTGATCAGCATCGTCGCCGCCTCTGGCCGCGCCGTCGCCGCTGTCACCATTAGCCCCAGCACCGCTACTATCATCATCGTGTCTACCGTTGTCGACGCTGCCATGATACCGCGCACGTCCAAGTCGCCGACTCGCAGTGAGAGGCCCGCTGGGATGTGTCCAGTGGTCAGCGTCACCGCGGCCGCGTCGGTTGCGCCAAACCGGCTGGCCGTTGCGCGCGCGAGCATGCGCGGGCTAGCGCGGCCGTACATATGCATCAGCCAACACCAAGCACTCATCGCAATCGCCGCCGCGTGGGTCTTGCAAACCAAGTTGCGGGTGGGCGGGTGGGATGATTGCGCGAGCATTGGGGTCATTGCGAACAGAAATGAATTCTCCTCTCTTAAAAGAAATTAAAGTTGACCCCCACCCCCACCCCCGGGATTACCACTCCCCCATGGGGTATTGCACTCTACATATGATACTGTATCCTTGTTCATGTTCCATAGTAGAGCATACCATCCCAGCTAGTCCCAGTACTGGGTCCCCCTCTAATCCCCATCAAATAAGACCATGCGGTGCACATGCGTTGATCTACGATGAGCTGAGTGCACGAATCCTTATGACATAACATCATGCGGGCCACATGCGCGCGCAAAACGAATTCCTTCAAACACCTTTGTTTTCATGAAAACTTCAACGTAAAAACATCAAAAACTCAATGGTTTTCCAACAACCAGTTTTCAACATTTCTTCCCGCGCTCTCCTGCAGATTCCTCGGAAGCCCCCTGTTTTTTTTTCAACTTTCCTATCCAAGGAGTCTTTCGGGCGCGCATGCCGGACTTCTTGCAATGCCCTCGCGCGCTTGCCAGAGGCATGACCCCTTTCAAATAGTACCATGCGGGGCGTTTTCATCGTCATCGTTGCCGTCGGAACGGTCGTGATTATTTTCATCGGCGTTTGTCAAGGCCGTCGTCCGCGTTGTCTCCCGCAAGAGATGGACTTTGCCCGCGCGACGAGCGTCCGCGTGCCAATGGATACAATGAAATTATCAGAGGAGCTCCACGCTGTAATTGTATTCGCGGCCTCATGAGTTCTGCCAACCACCTCGTCGTCGTCTGCCGACGCTGTCATCCGCGCTGTCTCCCGCACTGCAGTCGCGACCTTATGAGCTTGCCAACCAAGATGCGACTGGGAGGGTGGGATGTTTGCACAAGCGTGGGAGATGGTCACGCGCGGGGCAGCGTGGTCAATTTTCTTTTTCAAAAAATATAGCTTCTATCTCCCCCCCGGACTTAGCGATCCAGTTTTTCGTATTGCAATTTACGTATGATTCTGCCCCATCGTCCATCCTGC